GGAAAATAATTCTAGGAGCTCAGCATTTTCCTCCTGACCAGTTTGCGATGTTTGTCCATAGATTATTATTATTATTATTATTATTATTATTCGGTTTTTTGGGCCATATTCTAGCCGGTCAACAACAACAACAACAACAACCAGAACAACAAATTACATTTGTATAGCGCCTTTCTCATTTTCTCAGCTGGCATTCAGAGGCAAAACAAGCTCAGTGATACCCATGCCGTCCAAACCCATTTAATAAAAGGGAAAGAAAGCAGGAAGCCAGCTCGGATGAGCCAGTAAAATTTATCAGAGCACATCGCTCTGATTCTCGAAGCGATTCAGAGAATCAAAGCAGAGTTGGCAAAAAAAAAAAAACACTCGTAAAAGAATTCGAACTCCACATCCGTCCTGGTTCAGATCAAACTCCGAAATCATTGCTTTCGGGAGATTTACAGCGAGTTCATACCCCAAGTGTCAGCACCTCTCGGCAGTGCAGTGTAAAGCATATCATGACTCGCAAGTGATCGCATGATCTGCCAGCACTCCCACTCGGCCAAGGAACGATGAAGACGAGTTGGTGGGGGTGGGGGAGGAAGGGGGAGGGGGAGGTGGGGGAATAAGGGTGGGGCGGGGGGGAGAGGGGGAAACAATTCAGCTTTTAAGAAAAAGTCATCAAATCCCAATCTTTTTTCACTCCCCCCACCCCACGTTTTTTTTCCTCCAGGGCGTACGCTCAACCTAATGAACGCCACATTCATTTGGGATAGAGCTCGGACTGTTCACTTTCCTCCCGTTTTACAATAATAATAATAACAATAATCAGAATCCTTGCGTTTGATACAGCGCCTTATCACGCCGTTGAGACGTCTCAAAGCGCTTCGCAGGATACGCTGCCAAGTGTATTTTGCGGGGCCGAACGCGGCAGCCAATTGCTCACGGCATTTTGTGTTCGACTCAACCCTGAAGCGTTGGGCGCCTGTTGAGAGCTTCTCCCTGGCTTTACACTGAAATGCCTCTCGACCCAGTGGCTGCTTCTTGCGCTCACTGCTAATGCGTTGAATCGTGCAAAAGGTCCCACAACACGGCAAAGGCTGAGCGTCAGGAATATCTCATTTTACTTTTCCCCAGCTCCTTAGCGTCCCCTCCTCTTGGTGCGAAATATTCCCAGCAAAGAGGCTGAGTGGGTAAGGGTAGGAGGTTGACCGAAGGCGCGGTCGAAGAGGAGGGTCTTGAGATGGGCACTGAAGGAGGCAAGGGGTGTGGGGGGGGGTCAAGGTGGGATAGAGTTCCAGAGGATAGGGGCAGAGAGGCTGAAGGCCTCTGGCCAATGGTGGGGTGGGCAGGGTGGGGGACATGGAGCAGGCCAGTCTGCTGAGTTTGAGGGAGCGGTCAGGTTAATATGGAGTTAGGCGAGGAATTCCGCAAGATTTGTTGGTGTTTAGAAGCTAATGCCACACTGGCATTGTGCCATCGCTGTGACTACACTGTGAGATTGACGTCCAAATCACTGAGGTAGCAATTCCTGTGTCAGGGAACCCATTGAACAAAAGACTGCTCTCGTCAGAGATATTTGCGTGCTCGCAAACCGATGGTCCTCTTGCCCATCAGTCCGGCTCGGAAATAAACCAATTACACAAAAAGACTGATCTGAAGGAGGCTGGAGGAACTGCGGAGTTAGATTTGGGGCGTTAGGGGGAGAAGAGTAATATTCAGTAAACGAGCAAAACCAACCCTGAGTCTATCCCACAGTCCCTTCTCCTCACCCTTCCCTTGCCTTCTTGAAGACCCATCTCGAGAGCCTCCTCTACGATTGCAACTTCGGTCAACCCTCCTACCCCTACCCTCCCCCCTACCCTCTACCCCTCCTGAACCCAACCCCCAGTTTAGCTGCAAATCCCTGACTGACCAGCCCCTTGGAACGTTCTCCCGACGTGAAAGGCACTATAGAAAGTTAATATGTTGTTATCGAGCATCTATAAGGTGTGAGCTCCAAGATCTAGAGTTCTTTTTTCACAGTGTAAACAGGGAGAAGTTATTTCCAGTGCGGGAGGGGGTGGAGGCCACAGCATTTAAGTTGAAGATGAGAAATCACTGGCTGCTGTAACGTATCTGGAGTCAGAGACCAGTTGTTTTCTGGCACTAACTTATGAAAGGGTTCGACGAGACCTGCATTGACAAGGACTCCTTCCACTGTCTGCGAGTTCAAAACAAGGGACATCAATACAAGGTGTTGTAGGGACCCCATCGGAACATAGAGTGCTGCTGTACTTTTAAGTGGAACCTTGTTAAAAATGCAATGGTAAACAATATTACTTCTTAAAAGCAGGCAGGTGTTAGTTGACAATAACCCGCGCGTTTGGTACAGAGCCTGTCACATCGGGAAGACGTCTCAAAGAGCTTCGCAGGATATACCGTAATGCGTAGCGACGTAAAGTGTGCCTTTGCAGGCCAGCGCATCAGCTGATTTGCACACAGCAACGTCCCACAAACAACCAATGAAGTGAATGACCAGTTATCTCCACGTCCACGAGGACACCCAAGAGAAACTCCTTTCTCTCTTCAATCAGCACCGTGGTTATAACGAAGCAAAGAGCAGCATTTGCAAGCGCTTTATATTACGATACGACTGTAATCTCTTACACTAGAAAAGGTTATGAATGGGAACTTGCATTTTTAAAGCACTTTATTGCTTCAAGACGTCTCAAAGGGCTTCACAAGGAATTATGGTTCGGGTTAGTGACTGCTTTGTTGGCAAGGACATTTCCGCAAGCAGCCACGAGCGAACGACCATGTTTATCTGAAGAAAACTCCCTTCTCCTTTCAACGCTGTCCAGGCAGAGAGGACACCTGGGCCAACTCTCCAACAATGCAGCGCTCTTGAATCTGCAGCCTTCTGACCCCAGATTGCTACCAAATAATCTAATTCTACAGTGAAACACAACGCAAGGTGAAGGATGCCCAGTATTTAGTGCCGATTATCAGTATCTGAATGATGCAAAAGGCTGCCATCGCCGTAAATGGACCTACTCTCTCTCTCTCTCTCCTGGAGGCCCGTAGCACAGTGGTTAGAGCGCTCGCCTCGCAAGCGAGAGGACCCGGGTTCGATTCCCGGGAAGGGCGAAATGTTTCCTTACTCCACACACACACACACACACACACATCTGTTTACCCAGCAGTAAGAATGAACCCAGTTGTTAGTCGATTGGCAGATCGCTTTCCGGGGGTAATAATCCCTTCCGAATAAAATAAATAAGCCATAAATTTGGTCGCTCAATCCACGACTGTTTGTGGGCCGCCGCGGTGCGCAAGCGTCTGCCGCGTTTCGCCCACAAAGTATACAGCGAACCCCGTTTCGCAACATGAGACGTCTGAACAGTATGATAGAGCGCCACATCAAACGCAAGGATGATGATGATTATTATTATTAGTAGTAGTATTAGTATTGCAAACGTTTCCAATGATGATAAGAGGGTCATTCATGTGCATTTCACATGTATCAATTGCCTCTATAAAAGCTAATGGCTTAGCAATGGTTCTCAGTCAGGAAATTCCACAGAATGGATTCTACACACAGTCCATTCTGTTAAGCTTTTGGCCTCAAAGACACCTGTCAAGGTCGTTCACAACTATTCGCTTTACAGATTATATAACAACACATTACATGTGTACAGCGCCTTTCACGTTGGTAAGACACTCCCAGGGGCTGGGCATTATATTATAAGGATTATATTATTTTGAGGGGTGGGGGACAGAGAGAGAGAGAGAGAGGGGGTGGGATTGCATTATTTTTTGTGTGTGTGTGGAAGAAAGGGAAGAGTAGAGAGGAAAGATGCAAAATCGTGTTTAAATAAAAACACACACACACACACAACACACACACACTCACCCACACACACAAGTCAAGCAGTTAAGCTGCGCAAATTGCTCTCTCTCTAACTTACTGGTGACATTGGGGGGAGGGTGTGGGTGGGGGGTGTGTGTGGAGGGGGAGAGGTACAAACGTGTCGTTGCAGAAATGACACAGTCAATTAAAAGGCTGCAACAGCTGAGGTATAAACATACTGTCTGGTCCTGTTGCTATAAATTGAACCAAGACTGCACCACATCAAGTGACAATTATATATATATATATATACTCACACACACACATATGCACACACACACATTATATATATATACACACACACATTATATGTATATATATATATATATTATATAACCCCCCACCCCCCCCACCCCCTATAAACCTGTCAGCCTGCAGATAGCTACTGAATATCACAGGGAGGACACAGGCATTTCACCCTCAAACCAGAAAAATCAAATGAAGTTATTTCCATTTATTCCCCACACACACACCCCCACACCCCCACTTCTTACTCGAAAAGACCACTGAAGAGTTCTGAATTTCCTTGTGGGTTTTGACAGCATGTCCAGCCTTCCCCCACCCCTCCACCCACCCTCTTTCTCTCTCTCTCTCTCTCTCTCTCCCTCTCTGTCTGTCTCAGATATGGCTCAGAGGCTAATTTCCTAATATAGAGAGGAAAAAAAAGAAGAATATATACAGCTCAGGGCTCCTTTTATTGCACAAATCCTTCAGCTTGAAGGTTGCCTCGACTTATTTGAGGGTTTATCTTGTATTGGGAGAGGGTTTTTTTTTGGGGGGGAGAGGGGATGGGGGTAGGGATGGGGGTGGGGGTGGGGGGTGTTGTTGCAAATGCAATGATTGCAAAAGCTACAGATGCTTTCATTTGCAAACCGTTAGATTGGAGTGAAATATTTATTATGAGTGTAAGGTCTCTCTCTCTCTCTCTCTCTCTTTTTTTTTGGTCTCTTTCTCCTTCTCTCCTTCCCTGAGAAATGCACCACATACACACAGAGAGAGAGAGGGAGAGAGGGAGAGGGAGAGAGAGAAAGGGTGGGGGGTGGGGGTGGGGGGGGAGAAGATTATTGAATGAAGATCGACTACGATTTAGGAGAGGAAAACAAATCAAATCAAATAAAATTGTACTTACCAAAAAGAAGAAGGTGAGTGAGATCTTTGCTGAAAGGGAGGGAGGGAGAGAGAGGGAGAGAGAGAAAAAAAAAGGAGAGCAGAGAGGAGGGTGTGGGGGTGGGGGGGAAGGTTGGATCCAAAAGGGGCTGCAACGAGTTACAGACACTGAGTGGGGAACAGAGAGAGAGAGAGAGAGAGAGCGAAAGATTGAGCGGAAACTGACGAATGGATTCGGCTTCAGATCTCAGCTGTGCTGGAGGTGGGGGAGAGGGCGTGAGAGCTCACAGCCCCGGGGGGGGGGTCTGTGTGTGTGTGTGTGTGTATGTGTGTCTCTGGCTGTCCTGTGTGTGTGTATGTGTCTGTCTGTCTATTCTGTGTGTCTGTCTATCCTGTGTGTGTGTGTGTGTGTGTGTGTCTGTGCTGTGCTGTGTTTGTAGATCTGTGCTGTGTATCTGTCCTGTGTGTCTGTGCTGTGTGTGTGTGTGTGTGTGTGTGTATCTGTGCTGTGTGTGTGTAGCTGTCCTGTGTGTGTGTGTATCTGTGCTGTGTGTGTGTGTATCTGTCCTGTGTATCTGTCCTGTGTGTGTGTGTGTGTATCTGTCCTGTGTGTGTGTGTGTGTATCTGTCCTGTGTGTCTGTGCTGTGCTGTGTGTGTGTGTGTATCTGTCCTGTGTATCCGTCCTGTGTGTGTGTGTGTATCTGTCCTGTGTGTGTGTGTGTGTGTGTGTATCTGTCCTGTGTATCTGTCCTGTGTGTGTGTGTGTATCTGTCCTGTGTGTCTGTGTGTGTGTGTGTATCTGTCCTGTGTATCTGTCCTGTGTGTGTGTGTATCTGTCCTGTGTGTGTGTGTGTGTATCTGTCCTGTGTATCTGTCCTGTGTGTGTGTGTGTGTATCTGTCCTGTGTGTGTGTGTGTGTGTATCTGTCCTGTGTGTGTGTGTATCTGTCCTGTGTGTCCTGTGTGTGTGTGTATCTGTCCTGTGTATCTGTCCTGTGTGTGTGTATCTGTCCTGTGTGTGTGTGTATCTGTCCTGTGTATCTGTCCTGTGTGTGTGTGTATCTGTCCTGTGTGTGTGTGTATCTGTCCTGTGTATCTGTCCTGTGTGTGTGTATCTGTCCTGTGTGTGTGTGTATCTGTCCTGTGTATCTGGCCTGTGTGTGTGTATCTGTCCTGTGTATCTGGCCTGTGTGTGTGTATCTGTCCTGTGTATCTGTCCTGTGTGTGTGTATCTGTCCTGTGTGTGTGTGTGTGTATCTGTCCTGTGTGTGTGTGTATCTGTCCTGTGTATCTGTCCTGTGTGTGTGTGTGTATCTGTCCTGTGTGTGTGTATCTGTCCTGTGTGTGTGTGTGTATCTGTCCTGTGTATCTGTCCTGTGTGTGTGTGTATCTGTCCTGTGTGTGTGTGTGTATCTGTCCTGTGTGTGTGTGTGTGTATCTGTCCTGTGTGTGTGTATCTGTCCTGTGTGTAGCTAACCTGCCATTATAGTCAGCCCAGGCACTCAGGCAGACAGACAACAGCTGATCCAACCTCAACCACCAATATCAGCCACAGCCCCAGAAGGTTGAATGGCTTTAATGTGTAACAATAAAGACCATAGTTTACGTGAAATGTTCCAATAATAACAACAAAAGGATTCCCTCTTCACACCCAAATCTAATGGACGACAAATATACTGAGTCCAAGCAACGTTTTGAGAGGAGAAGTTGCTATTAATAATAATAATAATTAATAATAATAATTGAAACACTCTTGAGCTGTTGTACTTTGCAGACTAATGCAATAATCCTCGCGTTTGATATTGCGCCGTTCTCAATAATGATAAGCATTCTTCGCAGGATTTACTGTAAAGCGTAGTGACTGTGTAAGATCTCCGAGAGACGCGCCCACACTTGGAGGGCGCTATGTAAATGCAGGTGGTTGTTGCATTTTGTAGGCAAACCAACACCGCCGCCGCCGCCAACGACAACAACAACTCGAATTTACCTAGCGGGGTCGCGTTCTGGAGCGCTGATTTTCACACAGGAGGGCGGGGTGAAATTTTCTTGCCTTTCGGCCAGGACACGGGTGTAGTGACCGTATTCTTTGTGGGCTCCTTGGCCTCGATTGTGCCTTGAAGCAAGGTTGCGCAGAAAACATAGCAATAATAATCCTTGCGTTTGTAGGATCTGAAGCCTACAAATGTCAAATATGTCAAATACGGAATATATGTTATTAGGAATGTCCTCGGCTTCCACTTGCTGCCCGAGAAGTGCACTTTGTTTGCAGTAACCCAAGGTTAAATCCTCCATGACTTTTGTCCACATAGCAGTCAGTTCCAGCCGCTCCTCTTGTTGCTATTTGCCACGTAAATGACAAATAATTAGACCGAATGCTTTGGTGCAATTCATCAAGCGCCTGCCCTCTTCCCAGCCACCAAACGACAAGCGTGCCGGAAATAAACAGCTCTCGCTTTGCAGGAAAATAAATAAACAAACAAACAAACAAATAAATGTATGACAGACCATTGAGAACAGTGGGCCGTTCCCTAACGCTACCCCGCATTAAAGGTGCTACATAAGGCGATGACTTTATAATGTTCGATAACAACTTTTAAGAGAGAAGTAGATAACTATTTGGGGAGGACAGGTTCGCAGGGCTATGGGGAGAGAGCGGGGGAGCGGGATTGATTTGGACAGCTGTTTTCAACGCGCTGGCACAGACACGATGGGCCGAATGGCCCTCCTTCCGTGCCGTACAATTCTGTGATTCTATGATAAACGCAAGTTGTTGTTGTTGCCGCTGCTGAAATGGAGATAACTTTACTAAGGTCTTTGCGGCCTTTACATTTCTTTATTACCGATTAACTATTTGATACATTCAGCTACAAAACACAGAGCCACCGCACTTTACAGTAAATCTTGCGTAGCAATTTGAGACGTCCTCCCGACATGACAGACACTGCGGCAAATGTCAGGATTATTTACTCATTGGTAACAGCACGGCTCGCTGCTCTGTGACTGTATCCTCTAAGCGTGGAGTGCTGGATTTCAACCTGAGGTAGACTTAACCTAATTCACTGACACTGATGAGACCCTACAGATAACATTTCACTACAGTTCATTTCTTTTACATGGAAAGCCCTTCTCTTGCCATCAGCGGAGCTTGTTATTTACCTCAGTTTCCGTTGAGAGCATCCACATTTGTTCACATCACAAGGGCTCCACAGTGAAGTTTGATGCCTATAAAGGCAGCAGATCATTGGTCACCTCCGCAGGGAAACAGATAAGCAGCACTACAGTGACGTAGTGTAAAAGCGCAACAATATTTGGGAATGTATTCATAGCTGTAATTTAAACTGCAAAATGAATCACGCGGCACTTGAGAATGAGTAACACAGCACCAATTTGTTCAGCACATGGTATTATCGGAATAAAATATTTATTGGTGTGATGAAGGCTGCGGTCCATCGTTTGGGTGGAGGGATCGAATGATATTTGTTTCCATCTTAAGGTTTGTCTTCATTTTAAGTCATCCTCCGAATCCCTTTGAAGTGTTCAAATGAGGCAGCAACCCAGGATATCTGTTAATGTATCGCAATGCGAGACTCTCAGTCTCACCAGAGAGCAATGTTTGAGTGGTTTATCAGTGCCCTCTAAACTCTCGAGCTATGTCACATCCTTGAAACACATTGAGGCTGTAATATTCCCCCCACAGTGCTCAGTATCTAAAGGGCTTCTTTCTTACCGCACCTCACAGTAAAATCCAGCAAAGCGCTTTAAGACATACAAACGTAGGAGGAGGCCATTCAGCCCCTCGAGCCTGTTCCGTCATTCTATAAGATCATGTCTGATCTGCACCTCAAGTTCAATTACCCTCCCTTGGCTCCGTATCCCTCCAAACCCTGACCTTACAAATATAATGTCCTTCTGACGTGAAAGGCACGGAATCAAATGTAAGTTTCTTTTCCATTCCCCTCCTATTTTGCGAATGGCTTGCCTTCTCGCTTGGGGTCCCCCTTTCCTCCCCCCTCGCCATGTTATTGGTCGAACAAAACAACTAAATGTTCCCCGTAACTCTTTCCCCCCCACCATTGTTATCCAGTAAATGGTCAAGTTGGGAGATAAACCCGTGTCCTAAGCACAGGCATGAAACCCTGGAGCAACACTGTTTGTTGTAGATGTGAGCGGAAAAAAATAATTACTTGCACATGTCAAACCATTGTAGTTTGGACAAGGATGCAGAATGCGGCCAAGTCGGCGAGGGAAAGAATGCACTCTTGTACAAACACATAGGTTCGCTGGCCGAGATTGATGCCATCAGTGGGATGCGTTTTTACTGGCCAGTCAACTATCGACTGCACCAGAGGACAAATGGAGCGCGCTACGTGCAAGCCAAGACCTCTTTCACGGAGAAAAGATGTAATCGCTGGCGCTAAATAATTTGGACGGCAATGATCAGATCGGATAGAGAAAACCCAAAAAACACTTGTTGTAGGCACGAGAAGTGGCTTCAATGAGTTAACAGATGGGTTGGGTCGCAAGTTAGATTGCAGCAGAACAGCGTAGTTTAAGACAGCGCCACCAACCGATGGCAAAGCGCATTGCGAGTGCACGTTTCGCAGGATAACAAGATTTGGTTCGGAGGAAGAAGGCCCCTTTGGCCCCCCATACCCAAAGTATTTTGCTTTGGATCTGTCACTCCAGCAATGAGGTGAATAATAAATGAATCTGGAGAATTAATTCTTTTCTCTCGAACAGTGCTTCGGGATCTTTAACATCCATTCGAACCGGCAGCTGGGACCTTGGTTTACGTCTGGCCCCGTAGGGTGCCACCTCCAATGACGCAACGTTCCCCCAGCATTGCGCTGGGGAGTGTTAGTCACTGTGCGCCGGTTCGCAGGGGAACGGTTCTCTCGACAATGACTTTCCCTTGGTAAGAAATAGCAACAGGAATAAACCATTGTTAATCCGAATAATAGAGAAGTAATGCATCAGGCCATAATGGCGATGGCTTTAAAGCCCTCCAAGTATTAATGTTCCTTGGAATGTTTCCCAGCCAAGGCTCTGAGGCTTGTGGCAGTCACAGAAGAAATGGACGAGTATAAGACCAGGTAGCGAGGAACTGACTGTCCTGAAACGTCACTGCTCAAAATGCACGATTCACGCTGTTATCGTACCCCTGGGATCACCCAGTCGCACACAACAGACGCTGATGGGAGGAGGTCGCCTATCTTTGCACTGCAAATGGAAATGTTACCAGCGGAGTTTCACCCTAGAGCATTTTCCAAAAAAAAGGTCTCATGCTGGAGCACTTTCCATTGCAGTCTCAAAAGTCTGTTACAATCAAAATATTCCTATGAGAGGGACTCTTGTTACACTGCCAACCATGTCTGCTACTGTCTTCATGTTGACTTGCTCCAGACAAAGGAAAGCCAGAGGTCTGTTAGTGGAGGGCATTTTTATTTGACCAATTCTCGAACAGTGAGTGGGGGAAAGAGCTACGTGATCCGTGTTGGGTGTTCCCATTGCTTGTTAGCATTAGATAAGCACCCAGATCGTTCCATTTGTGCTAAGCAGCATAATCACCTCTTAAAACTCACTCACTAACTACCCTTGGGACCTAGAGAGTGAGAATACAGCCTTTTACATTTACACAGGACCCTTCACATAGAATAACAAGATGGAGGGGTAGAGGGATTGAGTTCCAGAGGTTAGGGGTGTCAAATCTGAAAGCTCGGCCAACTATGGCGACGCAGGTAGGGTGGGGGCCATGCAGCAAGGGGCCTGTTAGATTAAGCAGGAAATAGATCGTGAGAACTGGACATAGGAGGTGGCAGATACTGGGAAAACAATCCAGGAACAAGGACAGTATTCGAAAAGAGAAAGGAGTTTCTCCCGGTGTCCTGGCCAACAACCTCCCAAATAAAATTGGTGACTCACTCCATGACGGTTTGTGGGACATTGCTGTGTGCAACTGGCTGTCGCGTTTTGCCCACAAAATACAATTAATCCACTTTACAGTATATCCTGTGAAGCGTTTTGAGATGTCTCAATGATGTGATAAGGCTACATCAAATGAAAGATTATTATAAGCCACGTTTTACTTTTTCCACTGTAGCAAATGAACCAGCTTTAATTGTTGGGGTGGGACAGGGGCGAGGCCAAACTTATTACTGTAACCATGGTGAAATGGCAATGGATTTTGGACAAAAAAGCCCTGCTTGATTAAGTAACTAGATGCAAGTAACATAATATCTTGCATTTGAGCCTTGCACCTTTCATGTCAGGAGGATGTGTCATAGATTTATGTTTATGTATCACAGGATTTACAGTATAGTGCAGTGACTGTATTTTGTCTATGAATGCATAAGTCAACTTTTACACAGTCATGAAGTGATTAACCAATTTTATCTGGGGTATTTCAGCCAGGACACTGGGCGAAACTCCCTTCTGTTTGCCAGTAGAGCCATGGGATATTTAACATCAACCTGAACAGGTAAATGGAACCTGGTTTAACATCTCCTCTGGCAAATCAGTGTTCTCTCCCCCCCACTCCTCCTCCCAAAGCACTGCGTTTGTAGCGCCAGTTGAGTCAAGAGTTCAAAATATGGATGTGGAGCTATAACCTTCTGACTCAGAGGCGAGAGCGCTACTAACTGAACCAGTCTGACACCTCAGGTGAACTTGCTCGTTTCCCTGTCTCAAGTTCTTTAGTGAGTCACGGAGAATAATCCCCAATTGTTTTGGTTCAGGGTTTGTATGAATTGCAGCTGATCCTGGCCGCTTGACACGGATTCTTGTGCCAGTTCCTCGAGTCTTTCAGCAACTCGATGTAAACAAATACAAAAACAAGATGCCCTCCATTCCCACTCTGCCCAAAAATAAGTACATATAAATAGTTTGTATAAACTACAAACTGTAAACTGTTTTCAGATGGGATTTAACGGTAGACAGACCATAGCGTACTTAAGAGCCCATAATTGAAAGGCATATTGTACTTGGATCTAGGTTTGGTACTTTGTAAGGTTATACTTAGATGATGCTGGTTATATAATGGGATATGAGCAACATTGTTTTGCTACTTTTGACCGTCTGTGACTGGATCTGGCATGCATTTTGCTGAAGTCAACTAAAACCAGGACAAATAATGGTTTAATGCTGTAAAGGAGTAACTTGGGAAGACTGTGTGCGATCATGGGAAACGCAAAGTAGGACAAGACCTCAGGCGGTTACCAAATGCGAGGGATGTTGTGAAAACTCAATAGGATGATTCTGGCCATTTGAAAACGGAAACCATTCTTATCAAAGACAGCAAAACAAGAATAAGAGGAGGCCATTCAGCCCATTGAGCCTGTTCCACCAGCTTTAGATTTGGAAGACCTTTTTAATCCAATTGCTCTACCCTTTTGCTTTAACCCTTAAAACCATTTCAATTCTCGGTCTTTTTTTAAAAAAACATTATTCCTGTTGATTCCATCTTGCAATTTTCCAGCACAGAGTATTTCACAACTTCAGAACGCTGTCGGTATGAAAAAATGCATTCTGACCTCAGCCTTATTTCTTCTCACTTAGCAACCCAACTGAAGTTGATTAAAAGATGATAAAACACTCAATAAAACACGCAAAAAGGATTCATCGTCCAAAATAAAAATTTATTCATTTTTGTAACAAGAACATTGGATTTCATACAACAGTGCATGACTTCACATTAAGCAACGTAGCGCACTTGCATAAAAATCTACAGTGGAACACCCCATAATAATAAAAAAAATACAGTAAATGTCAATCTTAACAAGTGGAGAGCGAATCCAGTGGCAGAAAAGGGTCAAATCAACGGAGTGAGTTGAAGTATGATAAGCGATGAGTCCTGACTTGGAAACCGGTGTCCACAAAATGAGTGCGTGGAACAAAAAAAATATTTCAACCCGGATGGGTTCTAGATTGTGCTCTGACTACTTACCCACCACCCGCAGCCCCCCACACATCTCAACAAGCACACACACACACACACACAGATTTATTTGAAAAGGCATTTGCTACTCCTGTCAAAATAAAGGAAATATTCCTTCTCTGTGATCAGTGAAGAGGTTTGAAAACACGCTGCACCAATCAAATAGCATCAAGCTAGAATAAAAAACAAAAGCTCTTGTTTTTCAAACTAAACAGAACCACCAGAATGAATTAAAAGCGGATTTTTAAAAAAAAACACAATGCAGTACATGTGGCGAGTCACAATTTACAGGATTTTTTTTATTTAAAAAAAAGCAACTTGCAGAATATACTGTGTAAAAATAAATCAGTTTCGTACGCACAAAGCGAGTGCAACTACCGACCAGCAAGGCAAACAGGACGACACGTGCAACTCCCTGCCCGTACGGTACAAGTTATAATTTAAGAAAAATGTATTGTACAGCTTGAATATTCACAATGTAAACAATAATAACCATAACCACTGTCGGAAAAGGACTGCCTACATTTGATTTGTACAAAAAACCGAAATGCGCTTTAAAAACTGAATTGCGTTGGTTTAATAAAAAGCCTCTGAGTGACTCCTGCATTTAAACTTCGAGCAGAAGCCTTGTGGCTGGCTCTCCTGAGCAAATAATACATCTTACATTACTCTTTAGGTAACAAAAAAAAACCTCCACATTTTGGTTACAAGTCTGATGTCCTCCCTCAATTTAAAACTGTAAAGAACTGCAAATCTGTCATCGGTTATTGCAGTTTGGAACATCCTGGTCATTTTGCTGCTTTTTTTTTTAAAAGCTGCGATTGATAAACCAAATGCACGACAGGGCAAGCGTGAGCCCTGATAATGTGGGGCAATGGGGTGGGGGGGGGGCGAAGGAGTATGGTGGGGGCGGCTTAAAAATAAAACACAATCAGCACGGCAGCCCTCCAGTCTGAGCAAATATGCACCCACGTCATTACCAAGAACTACAAATGCCAAACGTTCCCTGTTACTCGGTGCACATGGGGCAGAAGATTAGTTCGTGATCTAACAGAGCCATGATATGCAACCGCAGGTCTTATCTGGTGGAACCTGACTCTTTGCCTTAACTACGCAAACTGCAGTCCGAGTTCAATGGGACGGTAGTGGAAGGGACCTCACCCCACGCCTTTTCCACACACATCCCTCCCCACATTCTAAATGGGGGTTGATTGGGAAGAAACAGCCCTCTCCCTCCCACACACACGCCCTCCTGTAAAAAGAATGGAGAAAACAGAAATGTGCAAAAGATTAAGATATAAGATTTCCAGGAACATACACGCCGGTATTCTGTAACGCAGGGTTTTTGTCTTCGCGCAGGACTTTTAAAAGTTCACAGATCCTGTTTTATGAGAAGGTTCGTCGATTGAAACTGTTGCGTTGTTTAAAGTAAAACTCTGCCGTTCGTAGCTGAATTGGTTTAAAAATCCTGCAGGGATGGACTGCGGGAGGGGGAAAACAACTCCCGCAGTATGCACAGGCACATACATGAAACATCTAATCATCGAGCACTTTAGCTGACTTTATTTAAAAAAGGATCTTCGCACAATATCCCAGATAAAGTGGAAAAGCATCTTTGTAAGAATGGGTTCCTGCCCACAGTGACGAGTTTTATCTAGGCTTTTTTAAAAAAAACGTAGCATTTGTGCCCTGGTAAAATATGTGCGAGATTGAAAATCAAAGATATGTTTGGCAAACAGCAGTATAATGACTGACATAATAAACTGTGCGGGAGGGATGTACATTGACCAGGCGGGAAAATAAGGTACAGAGAAGATAAGCAGGTGGAAGAGAGGGAGAAGAAAAATGATTCTTTCAAGAATACCACCGTTTTCTCGTCTTATCTTCTTTTTTCGGTACATCTAATCTAGAATTTGGAGTGATACCAGACACAGCAGGTTTTATAATATTCCAAACAGTGCAAATCTCTAACTATTTATCCAAGGAAGACTTTTCTTGATATTCTTTCACACTACTGCTGCTATTACTGAATGAGTCGCTTTGTTTTTAAACATAAAACGCAAAAATAGCAAATTGCAATCCAAAACATTTCCAGTCCGTATCAAGAAATCTTGCCCTTATTGAATGCACACTTAGAGGCAAGAAAACCAACAAACAATGAAGTAGACACACAAGTAACAGAAATAAAGGCGTGAAGTCGATTTTGTTTCCAAATAAAACATGAAAACAGAATGAAGAGTTTACTGTTTTTGGGGGGGAAAATGCTCATGAAAACAAGACACTGGATTAAGATTAAACATGTGCGATGAATTTTAGTCCTTTTCAACAGGAATATCAGAGGCAGCACTGTAGGGGCAGAATGTACAAAAGTGACGCGGGGAGACAGAGTTCAGTTGACTTATTACAAAGATTTCCCTTCAACTGATATTGGAGGGAGCCGCTGGGAGTCCCACAGTAGTGTTCAAGTAATACTTCAGATTAACCCTGAATACAGACCACCTTCAAAGAACACACAAGCCAACACAATAACTAGCCGCATCCATCCGCTTGCTTCATCATTCTCACGGTAACAGACAAGAAGGAAGGTTCAGCAGAGAGGAGATTGGAAAAAAAACGTGGCGGCTTCTAACAGTCTCTGAGTGGCTCTTTATGAGCAGGGATCCACGGATCATTAAGGTCTGGATGTGGCGAGGGCACTTTCAGGATGGATATGGCCTGCTGAGCACCAGGTTTTGCGATAATGGTTGAGATAATGAGGTATAATCCAAAGGAGTCAAACAACCATTTTCACAACAAGTGTATATTATACACTTACTTTTTTGAGGGGGGGGGGGGCAAAGAAAGGAGGAGGCAATCTAAAACTATATACAAGTTAAACGTGGCTAGTGGATTCAAATTCTGGGGATAGAGTACATTGCTTTAAAAACTGCTTTGGGAAGAGGGGCAAGATTAGTACTCTTATGATGAGAATATTTCTACAAATGGTTTAGTAGGGTGAGTGTTGTGAATGATTAAAAAAAAAGCAACAGGTTGTGTTAAGTTTACTGAACAAAAAATCAGAATTTATCAAAATAGTTGCTTTTCCCTGATTTTCCTGATGGAGAGGTATATTTACGTCAATGAATCTGCAATCAAACACCTTCATTCATTGTGTTGTGGATGGTGTGTTCCTATAAATAAGGTCATATGGTTAAAAGGGTTCAGTTTTAATCGCACTCTTTTCAGTCGACCCACGGTTTCACGAGCTTCCAAAAAAAAAATCACCCTCCCTCATGTTTAATATATAGAAAACAAACTATAAAGTGCATGTTCCTTAGACGCTTGCCCGATTTATATACAAAAGGCAAGGTTTAGGATCACATAGTATTATATAAAGGATTGGATGTCCGCTTTCTCTCATTAGTCATTTTTAGTCTCCTCAGTGGATGAGTTCGACCGTGTTGCACTCGAGGAGCTATAGCCATCAGTGAGGTGTGGCTACAACTGTCCAGCTCTGAAGGAGACGGTGAATTTATTGGTGGAAGGTTTTCCTCTGCACTTTCTAGCGGACTCGGTTGGGTTGACTCGAATGTTTTGGCGTATTGAATTGTGGGCTTCTCTACAGGTTTGCTTTGGACAATGTTCTCTGATGTTTTAAGTTGCTCCATAAAGCACCTTGTAGCCTGGAGTTCTTGTTGGGGGACACAGATGGAAACGACGCACAGTTTTTTGCTGGGCTCATCCTCCTCGGAGCACTTGTCTCTTAACTCGCGTGGGCTTTGAACGCTCCACGATGTGTTGTCGTACGAATCAAAAAATGTTCGCCAAGTCTCAGAACTATCAGAGTCTCTTTTAGATACATCGTCCATTGAGAGCTCCAAGCAACCAAGCTTGGCTATAGATGCTGAGCGCTTCATCTGTGATGGAGTTGTGAGACCTGCCTGCCTTATCCGAGCTTCAATTTCTTTTGCTCGCTGCTTAACCATCCCTGGAGTGCTGCTTAGTTTACTGATGCCGTTATTGTTAGAGATATGACTAAGGTTGGGTGCGAGACTGGAGGAATCGGACGCCTCCTGCATCTCTTGGAAACTTTCCTCAAACCTGTTGAAACTCTCTCGGATACTTTCATCAAACCTGTCGAAACTCAACTGCAAGTCTTCATGACTCAAGTAAGCGATACAGCGAGTGCCTGTCCTTTGCAAAGACATCTCGCTGGTTTCAGTTTCCTGAAGTTCGTTCTCTGAATGGATCAATTTGTCACCAGGGATCTCTGCATCAGTGTCTGTGCTTAGTTCTGTGACACCTTCCAGATGTACTATATGCGACTGATAAACATGTTCCGAGCCTATTGATGGTGAATGCGAAATATGAGTGATAAAGGCTGTCATTTCGTCATTAGCTGAGCTATCATCTTCCTCTTCAGAAGGACTGCCAAGTGTGAAGGTCACCTCATTCATTTCTCCCTTGCATTTTTGGGTCAAGGTTGGAACATCCAATGGCAAAAGCTCTAGCAGCCTCGAAGTCTGAGCAGGCCGTACCTCTGTCTTGATTTCTTGATCATCTGCAGAATGGGCAACTGTATCCTTTCTGTTTGCTGAAGACTTTTCCTTAACAGACTCCCCAGACAAGCCAAAGGTATCATTATCTTCTTGAGATGCAAGTTGTTTAACTGCATGGATATACTCAATAATCTCAATTCTCTTTGGAAGTTGCATTTGTGAACTCAGTTGCTCAGAGGTTTCATAAGAATGTATTGTTCTACGTTCCACTAACTCAGATTCTGCTTGGGCCATTTTCTGCCTCGGTTGTAACTCGTGCTCCAAAGTATCCGTGGTTAATTCATCACTGAGAGGCATATTGTGCTCTGTTGACAAAAATATACCTTCGACTGTGCTTTCATTTTCTTCATCCTTGAATGTAGATGTTGATTCGAGAGAGTCATCCTCACTCTTATCCTTCACCACAGATTCGGTGCTTGTAACGCCGTCAATTCTGGAGCTTTTGCGTATTGGTAACGTGACCACACATGAATTTTGTTCCTGCTCTTGCTTTAACCTTTGCTCAAACTCCTTAGTGGCTCGTTTCACTGATCCAGGACACCATTTTGCCACTTGGTTGTGGTTTATGGTCGCATCCTGTGCCAACTCTTCGTGAGGCTCCTCGCTGTTCGTGACTGCTATACTTACTGGACTGTGTTCGTCGGGTTCAGGTTCAATCAGATCTCTGACTTTCTCACAATTATTTTCGGCTGTGGAGTACCTTTCTGCACCAGATTTGTTTGCAGCATTGGCATTTTCTGAAAACCAATGCAACTCTGTTGTCAGTTCATGAATTGTATTTCTCTTTGGTGGATTGGGTGGGATACTTTCAGTCTTACTTTGGCACAAGCCTGAAGCCTGGTTGATGGACTCTATTTCTGTCACTATTTCTTTCACAGATATAACATTTAACGACTGAGATCTTGTTAGTGAATATTTCTTGGTTAACGTTTTTGCTAGCAGATTCTCCTAGAGAAAGAAGTAAGAAAATTTACAAACGTGCAGCAAATTACATTCCCTCCCACCAACATAAGCAACTTTTATGTGAAGCTTACACATATAGCAACTAAGATCACTATTACCCTGAGTACCTCAGCTGAACTTGGAACCTGAGTTTACATAACAGTGAGTTTCCTTTGGAGACCGAAATAATTTATACAGGTTTACAGATATCCTCCACAGGGAAAGAGGGGGAAGGGTTAAGCAGGAATTCCCCGGGGTTGAATTGGTGACAAGGAGATGTGTTTGACAAAGCCAGACAGTAATCAAAAGCAACCTTGGGAGTTTTAGACATGTCAACACTGGGTTCAAAGTCCTAATTTCAGCAGATCAGCGGTGACTTGAAAAAGTGGGCATCACCAAGCCTTTGTCTATAAAAGGTATCTCTCTCTGTCTCTCTCTCACACACGCACACACACACACACACACACACACACACACACACAGACAGACAGACACACACTTTCCAGCTATGGTCACTGGATAATCAGCAGCAGTGGAAAACTTGGATAACTTATCCTCTCGCTCGCCCTGGGACACAAAGACCAACTGTTCTGCTCCACTCCCATCCTGATTTGAGACCAGCTGAGCACAGAGCAATGATTATAACCTCTTTCCTGCCTGGTGTACGTGGCTCATCATCAGAGTTACCCAATGAACCACTTGATCAAATTAGCTTTCATCTAAATTATGGCTCTCGGTGGAAAAACAAAAGGCAAAAAATCACAATATGAACAATTTCTACCTTATTGGTCTCCTCACTATTGCCACGGTCTGTCAATTCTGCCGCTTGGGCAACACTCTCCTCTGATACGACTGCCTGGTCATCTCCAGGCTGTTGCTGTTCTTCATCAGCTCCTTTTGTGGTACAGCACCTCCCTTCACCAAGCTCCTCCGTCTTTGAGTTCAAATGGGCTCGACTCCTACCCTCCTGGGAAAGCTCTATGAATTTTTCTCTGGCGCTAAAAAAGTCTATTCGGTCAGGACTCGAGCAGGAAGCTTCGAGATGCTCATTGGAGGGCGAGAGCGGTGAAGCCATCTCCTGCGACGCTATGTGATCATCTGGCTGAGACTCGGTTTCAAGTAATGGCAACAAAATGCAGTCTGTAACAGAACTAACGGGATCGTTTTCCAGAGAATTGGTTTCTAAATCGGGCAGAGCTGTGATGTGTGTCCTCGGTGAAGCCAGTTCATGATGGGGCAAAGCCTCTGTGCGTTTTTCAGCCTGGCAGTTATGAATAGGAAAACTATAAGCTTCTGAGCTGCAACCAGCACAAATCTTGGAGATACTATCAGTATCGGTGGCCGTGCCCATTCGCTTGGTTGCCCAACTCCTGTCAGAACAATCGTCAGCAGAATTACATTTTGCTACGGGATTGAATTTGACCTGCTCCTCATGCAGTCCTGGTAAAACAGTGTTCAAGTCTGAGGTTTGGGGATGGTAGAACTGTGCATCTAGTAGGTCAGTGGATGGCTCTGCGCTGGAGATGCTGTCCCTTCTGTTGAAGTCAACCATAGACTTATTAATACGCTCGTGAGGGCCAGAAAGATCACCGTCGGAGTGCGAGCGCCATAATTTGTTGTGTCGCTGTTTGCTGCAATAAAAGAAAAAAGCACTTTAAACAAAATTCCAATGTGAAGTATTTCTGCCAGAACAAATGAGATGCAAGTGCTCTTAAAACAAGGAAGAAATATTTCCAAATGCTCTGAACCATCTTCTTATCTACATCAAACATTTCTTTCGGAGTGGATAAAATGCAAATGATAATATCTTTGGCAGCCAGACTTGATTTATTGGGGCAAAAATATACATGAAATGCACAATTTCCAACTGTTGTTCATCTCTATGTGCAAAGAGTACTGCACCTCACAGCTACTTTCACAAAAGGAATGACTTATCAGAAGATTTAAAATCCCACTGAAATCTTTACTGTGTGTGTGCATGTGTGTGTATGTGTGCGGATGCAGGGATTAAAACTGGGATAAAGAAATCTCTTTTTAAAAATGATAAATTGTCATACAGTTTCACAGAATTTTGTGGAAGTATTGCACAATTTCAATTCTGAACTCAAATGAATCATGAGCAAGGAGTATCCTACCCACTGTAACCCATCATTAAGATGACCTCTTTACAGAAAGAGTATAGATGTGAAGAGAACAAAGCACATGTCATGAAACCGGATTGATGAATGTGTAGTGTAAAATCTGCAGATAAAAAACCACGTAAATATTACTTCCGAGAAGCTCTATTCCTGTGTATGTTTCGAGGGAACATTTTGCAATGACTGTCATGCAGAAAGTTGCATAACTTTAGAAAACAACCAGGCTTCCTTGATAGTGAAAAAGTCGGCGTGTACTGTCAGCTGCCTCTGCTAACGTGATTGCTTTCTCCCCCCTCTAAATATCACCTGCTTCAAAGCCAAAAATAAGTCTCAGATGTCCCTCTGGATATTTTCAAAGTTGCCATAAATAGATTACATCACTAACCAAGAAGTACTGAAATCCTTTTCCCTGAGAAACACGTGTTTACATGGACAAATTCATCCAAATACAATGAGGCCCAGGCATGCAATAAACAGGAATCCTGACTTCACATCTCTTGGCCTCGTGGGTCCTTGGAAACGATTGCAGGGATTTTGGACGAGCACAACATTTTTTTGGTACTCACAATGTTCCGCAAATGTGCAAAGGGCAATGGGGTCCATTATGCGACTTGAGTAAACGCTTATGTAATGGACTTAAAAACGATTGCAGATTGAGAAAAACTTAAATAATCACAAGCGCAATTTCCTAAATCCAACTGGTAGATTCAGAATAGATTCTTAAAGTATTACTACACCGAGCTTCGCATCAAACTGAGTTTGCCATTGCAATGTACTTTTTTTTATTAAATGGCTTGACTTTTATTTCAAAGAACCACACAGGTTGTTTGTATTGGTATCATCTTTCCTGTCATACAACAGGGTCTATTTTGGAGTATGAAGCCATGGGTTTCAGCGAATGGAACATACGTTGAATACTTTGTAGAAAAAAAAATGTTCGGTAGTTTGCAACCTGATATCTCAAACACAAGCTTTCCCTGTAACTGTTCAGAGATGCGGTTCAAAACTATTCCGCACTGAGGTACAGCTCGTGAAAGTCAAAGGGATCGCCCCATACACACAAAAATCTCTCATGAGTAAACAAAACATGTTTTTATTAAATAAACTTACGCAGCCAGACAGAGAAAAGAAGTCGATGAACCAGAAGTTTAAGCTGGTAGGTGGCACAGACACAATCAGTTAAATGGCTTTCTGTGCAGAATATTTCTACGCTTATAACTCATGCCCAAAATTGAAGACAATCTCGATGACCATCCGCATCCACACTGATGTACCTACCTAGCTAACAAGATGCCCTGGTACTCCTCCAATTGCTTCATGAAACTTGGATTGGGTTTGGTTACTCCCCGCTTCTCCTTCACATAACTGTAAGCTCTGTCCAGGTTCCAGCCATATTCTTTCATTGCATATGCAATGACTGTTGACGCAGACCTGCTGATGCCCATTTTACAATGAACAAGACACTTGCAACCATCTTTCCTGATGCAAGGGAAAAGAACAAATTGTTAGGATTGCACTCTTTTAGAGCTCCAGCGATATTTCCAGATTTCGAAGCTAAGCATTGGGATCACTCACAGGAAACTGTTGAAGCCAAAACCTATCCCACAAGGCAAATCGATGGCAACTAAAATATTTTTTGAGAACATATTTTTCACTGATTCAAATCAGGCTTTAAAAAATGACTTCCTGTTAGCATTGGAAAGGAAGCTGGTTATTTTAAGATTTCTGAAAAGAATCAAGTTCTGGAAATACTGTACATCTGTCGATGAGTTACAATCCATTTGAATTCCAAATTTCCACCAAGAAACATCTTGAATTAATATTTAAGGCATGAAAGCCCGTCAAACTGTTGTGCCAATTGCATCGGTTCCAACGCATCACTATGGGAATAGTCCTGAGAATAGCACGACCGTGTCTGCGAGTATAGATCATTAAGTTGTCAGAGAGGGGATGGTTGCTTATTTTTAAAGTTGTTAAGTTTTCTTTAATTTAGTGCTAGCAACAAGCTTCCCCATTGTGTTGGCACAAATTAGACATATATGCATGCTCTTTGTCTGTATGGGTTCCAATGGTAGGGAAGGTCCTTTGATCCTCGAACCAGACATTCTTCCCAGATTAGGTATTATTGTATTTCTAAAGCTTTTAGTTCATGGCAGAGAACCAAATGATCAAAAGCAATTTTCTTGCATAACAATGGTCCCTTGCTATAACCAAATATTTGGGTCCCAGCCAAATTGTACATTTAAAATTACACCAGATCATGTTGTCTATGCAAGTGGCGTTGGTATCCTCAGGGACTAATCAGCATCTCCAGTGCCTCAGTTTGCAAATTTATGACATTTACAGAAGCAATATTATCAGCAATTCCCTGCTTTCAGAAACACCTTTGTGAATACAAAGGCAGGACGGAGAAAAAGCTATGCAAATGTCACAGGACTGCTTCAAATACTAGCGAAGGGGAGTTGCTTGGATAATTTTCTAAATAATAAGAATGTTTTATTCACGAGTTACGCATTCAGTGAGCTACTGGCTATGATGTGGTATGTGCAAGTAATTTCTGCCATTTTGCGATCAGTTATTCAGCATGAAAGATCAGTGCCATCCAAGAGTTCTGGTGTAAAATGCTGTACATTACAAAATGGATTTACTGTGAAGAGAGGGGGCAATCGAAAAGATTCATTTGTAAAGGATTACTTGCAGCAACAAAAACTCAAATGGATGATGAGGTATAGGAACATAATGCTGGATTTATTACTGAAAACAGCTAGATGTTTAACCAGCAGCAAAATGCTATGAGGCCGGGAGCACCTTATGGTTAGGAAAAGATTTATAATGTAGTCCTGCAATAAAAATTTTTTTTAAAAAAAAACAGAATTTTAATTACCAGAGGTATTCAGTTAAAAGAATTGCTGTTTAAAGAGGGATTTTTCTCAAGTTCCTGTCCATTTTGTGAGGTTGTGCACTAAAGGTGGATTGGCAATGATTAAGAATTATCTTATCCCACAGAAATGACAAGGCACTCATTTTCTGCAAACGCTGTCAAAATCGAAGTTCTTTTTCGATATGAAAATATACAAACAAAAGGAAGCTCATTCAGTTGCGTACTTTGCTTTCGAGATGAATTTGTAGGTGTCATTCCAATACGCAAGCAGGTCTGTAGCCTCTTCATCGTATACTCTGATATTGTGGTACTCAAACATTCCTGGGAAGAAGTTATCTATCTCCCGAGTTACGTTTAAGATGTACCGAACCCTGAATTAAAACATGAAGGTCACGTTATTGCCATGTTAAGGATCACACTTAATACTTACTCACATTTCAGGTACTTCTTACATTATTGTTGCTGCTTTTGTTGCTGCTTCACAGGTTTTTAACTGTGAAGTGTAGCAACTGTGTATTTTGTAGGCGGATCCGAAGCCAATTTGTACAGTACAGTAATATCCCACAAACAGAATATTTTGCTTGGGACCTTTCCCATTTTATTTTGTGAATTTCCTTCAAATAGCTAGCATGGCACAGGACAACAACAGACCTGATGTGCCTGCAGGGGGAGATGTAGTTCACTGAGATCAGTTTAGATGCTGAATTATGCACAGCTTTGATCTAAAAATCACTGTATACAAAACGTCTGCTGAGAACCATTATAAAACACGTCAGAAATCTTGCACTGGATGTTATATCTAACAAGTTATGCAAGCTACTACGCAATTCTAACCCATCAATGATATGATTTATTGGCAACTTGTTAACAGTGACATAACAAAATTTAACTGTTTAAACACTGATGTTTACGAGGTTTAAGGAGATTTATGCACAAACTATGAAGGCACAAGGCACTGAATTGACACACACAGAGTTCAAATGTGCGTCACTGATTTCCTACATGGTTGACCTTGACCCATGTCATCAGGGCAGCTGCCGTGGAGTCCTGTAGCTCAGTGGTTAGAGCACTCGCCTTGCAAGCAAGACACCTGGGCTCAATTCCAGGCAGGGTGAAACCTTAGGCAAGTTTCCTTACTCCACACGCCTAATAATAATCCCTCTAAAACAAAACAATAATAAATTGGTCATTTTCAATCCACGACTGTTTGTGGGACGCTGCTGTGCGCAATTGGCTGCCACACTTCCCCCACAAATATACGGTCAATTCAATTTAGTCTATCCTGTGAAGCGCTTTGAGATGTCGAGAAGACGTGAAAAGCGCTATATCAAATGCAAGGATTATTATTATTTTTATAAGAAAAAGGAAGTTGGTTTCTCACAGGGAGGATAAATCCACAGCAAGAACAATCGACCAGGTTACCCTTGAAATACTTGCACTCAAAGAGACCAGGGAGTGAGTACGTCTTCTGTCCCCTCCCTTTGGCTAGGGAACAGCACCTGGTCAATGGGACTTTTGATGAAAAAAGGTTTTAGATTGAAAATATGTCCCACAAACAGCCATGAATTGAATGACATCTTCTATCTAGAGGATCGTCACTGGGAGAAACTCCTCTTTTTTCAAAAAGTGCTGCAGGATCTTTAATGTCTGCCTGAACAGGCAAACGGGACATCGTTTAACACGTGATCCAAAGTACGGCACCTCTGACAATGCAGCTTCCCCCAGCACTGCACTGGAGTATCAGCCACGACTATTTAGGGGAAGATTTTCCATTTCCAATGGGCTTTGTGTGCAGAACAACAACAACAACAAGATTCCATTTATTGAGCGCCTTTCACGTCGGGAGGACGTCCCAAGGCGCTGTACAGTTGGGTCAGGACCCGAGCAGAAGTGTACGATTGAGCCAGGGAAGTACTGTTTTCGATACAAAGCACTTCCCCATTGAAAGTATCGTAGGAAAAGAGGTTTAAAGATGCCCGGCTGGTATGGGATGTGCATTGTATCCTGTGTTAAGCAGGTTCAAATAAAGCCAAAGGCTGTGGGTGCCTGGATTTCGCCCCATTCACTCTGCAGCACCCGCAGCAACATGGCAATAACGGAGGAAGTTCAAACTTGCACCTGCCCAGTTGGCAATGTTTTTTCTCTGGCCATGGAGCGTACCAGAACTCAAGGGAAGAGCAAACTGCAATGCTGGCTTGCTGGGGCAGGATGGTATCCAACAATGCATGGGGTGGCACCTGCTGGCCACAGATAAAGACCCATCTCCAGAGGCAACAGCGATGCCTTGTTTGGCTCATGACCATCAGCTAAATGGGTCCCTGATCTCTCCTTTCTCTGTGGAGACACCACAACTTCTCATCCTGCTGGGAGCCACACTACATGATCACCAGTGGGCTTTTCACAAGCAGATAAGAAATCTCAGACATTACCCTTCAAATCAGGACTGAGTTCTGACTGAAAGACATTCAAGCCAAGAATTTTCATTGCAGACTCACTGGAGAGCAGCAGGGGAAAAAAAGCTAAAAATACAAGCATCTCCAACTGAATTGTGTTCTAAATTGGGACTGGCAGAAGAGAATAATCCTTATAATAATCCTTGCATTTATATAGTGCCTTATCATGTTGTCAAGACATCTCAAAGCGTTTCAAGGGATTTTACGTAGTGTCTGTGCATTTGTACTTTATATTTTGGTAAGTAAATTCTGGCACCTTAGGTCACTGGGAGCTGAACAAGAATACATTAATCCACAGTGGTATTGGGAAAAGAAAAAGTTCAAAACTAATATGACACAAACAACAGCTATTAAGTGGTTTCTTTGTGCAAAATCAGCAGTTGGGACTCTGTTGCTGGCCTTTTTTTTGGAAAAATAGGAACAGGTTATACCGGTTTTAAAATCATTGTTGTTTGAATACATTCCCACTGAGGTACACTTTGACACACTGAACTCTTTCCCCCGCCCCCTCCCTTCATTCAGTCCTGTCTGATGGTGAAAGGGAGTTGTTTTGGGTTAAATTTACGCGCACAACAAGTCACAAGAACACTTACCCCTGGTTTTGTAATTCTTCCAAATTGCACGCATTCCACTCAGATCCCTGGAAACAGAGACATTACTGACTGAGACTTCAGTTGAACAGGTAAATCCAAAAGGTTCAAACTGACATTAAATGCAGAGTTGAAGCGTTGAAGTAAGCAACTTTGACCCGAGACGATATTTCAATTTCATTTGAGAAACAGAAAAATTAAACTTTCAGCCAAGCACACGGGTCAAAGGCTTGAGAGAGATCATTAACTCATTATGTTGTAAACAACTATTCTTCTCCAACATGACCAAGTTACAAACCAGTGCTGTGTGGAATAATGTGTTCTCATGCTGCAAGTCATATTTCTGGCTTGAGTCATATTTCTTCACGCGTGAGGCTAACAGAACTGATGTCAAAGGCCAGCCCTCTCTGCTGATCTCAGATGGGCCAGGTTTATGGGTGTTAATATTGACCTTACTGCACTGGGATTAGGAACGTGGTAAAAATGACTAGCCATTCTCAAGCAGCATCTAGAGGATTGGATGGAGAGCGATATTTGTGAAAGGCTGAGAGGAGGTCTCAATGCCATCCTATTTTGGGTAAGGAAGATAGGATTGGCAGAGTAGAAGGAAAAATAACATGTCTGTTGGGGGTGGGAGGTGCGAAAACAAATTTAGTAAGTTAAAAAAAATCAGGAATTATTTTCCCCACAACATAATATTGCCCTTCACATTCTAAAAATTACTTTGAATGGTCAACAATATTGCAACATTATCTCAGTCACTATTGTGCAATGACAGCATTCAATTACAGTCAATACCAGGGTCCTGGTATTTTATTATTTGCTAATGTCGCCATTTTATTATTTGCTAAGAAGTACAAGTCACCTCGACATCTAATCACAGCAAGTTTCATCCTACTGATGTGTTATTGCAGGACTAATCTTATTGCCCAATATTCAACATTGACATATGAAGGTTGGCTTTGTTCTCAAAACACATCCAATACACATAAAGGTTGCCACTTAAATCAGTCTTGTCTGAGGTACAGGTGCTTCCACTGGAAGGTACACAGTATATGCTGGCACTGACAAATGCAGAGGTGTCTGTCAATAGTTTACTCACCATCTGGGCAGAAATAATATAAGGGAGAGGGGCAGTGGAAAGGGTGACGAGAGAATGCAAAATAAATGGTACTTTATGTAAAGTACCTATGTTTCAGAAATATTTTGAGGTTGAGAATCCACCTGTTTTTAGAAGTACAGTACTTTGAGCCACTTACTGAAATTTGTCATAAAAAAATATTTGGGTACAGATTTGTACCTACTATACCCATCATTCTATTAGGGCGATTCCAAAAGGAGGTAAGGCAGAGAACTGGTAGCAAGACGCTCTAGGATTCCTCACACACCTCCCAAAAGATAATTAAGACAGTGAAAGCTACCTAGTTAGGCAGTGTGGCTGTAGTATGGCTCAGCTTTCTCCACTTCAAATGAGTCATCAACATATATACATAAACTTATGCTCCAAAGTGATGAGGATAAATATCAAATATGGTCCAGCAAGCTTACCAGGTAGACATGCTCAAATATCTCAGTTGGGCTGTCCATCTGTCCCAGAATGACTATCATTTCATTGTCCATAAATTCCTTAAATTCTCTCAAGGTACAGCCCATCTGCATTTCCAGCTCTGTGCGGATCTATAAATGAATACAAGAGTTACCTCAGGTGACCAGTGCACTCTATATGACGAAAAATAGCCAAGAAACACAAGGTAATAAGCTACTGTTGGCAATATGAAACTCAGCACTAAGGCTGCAAACTATTTTTGCAGCCTTAGTTTTCCCCATTTTATATGCTTGGTATTAAGCTTCGTCAATCAGTGGGATATTTTATTTCAGAATCTATTTTGCATCATTTTGATTTAAAAAGTGGCGGGAGAGGGCATTTTGACCTACCTCTTTTGACGTGATATTTTCCAGATCTTTCTGCATCATGATCTCGCGTAGTTTTGTCTTAATTAATCTTTCAGTCCGATCACACTCAGTCGGTCTGGGATGGACATAAATATCTACAATAATTATTTTTGCACTCCATATCACATCTAGAGTGGAAGAGTGATTCAAAGAGTTTCACAGGGAAATTTCTATCAAATGTAGTGACCGTGTATTTATAGGAGGCCTAGGTTTACAAGCTCAAATCCCAATCTGGGACCCCCACCAACAAACAATTTAAGACTCAGATACCACTAACCACTGGCTGACACAATAAAGCATTTTTCAGACCCCATCTCGAGTACTGCTTTCAGTTTTGGGCATCACAACTCAAGAAAGATATACTGGCCCTGAAGGGGGTGAAGCCCAGGCTCACCAGAATATTACCAGGCCTAAAAGGGTTAAGTTACGAGGAAAGGCTGCGTAAACTTGGATTGTATTCCCTTGAGTTTAGAAGGTTGAGGGGTGATTTGATTGAGGTATTTAAGATGACAAAGGGATTCGATAGGGAAGATACAGAGAAGCTATTTCCTCTGATGGGGGAATCCAAAACAAGGGGCATAGAACCAGGCCACTAAAGAGTGAAATCAGGCAGCGTTTTTTTTCACTCAACGGGTGGTAGAAATCTGGAATTCTCTCCTCAAAAAGGGGGTGGATGCTGGATCCATCCACACCTTTAAGAGACTGGTAGATTTTTGGAAGGTCAAAATATTAAGGGATATGGGGAGAAAGTGGGAAATTGGAATTGAAAGGTTTAGTTGAGGTACAGATCAGCCATGATCTAATTAGATGGCGGAATAGGCTCGAAGGGCCTACTCCTGTTCCTATGTCTCTATATATACTGTAAAGTGTAGTGACTGTTCATTTTGTAGGCAAACTCAGCAGCCAATTCCTAGCAGAATTCTGAATATGATTTCTAATAATTGGAAGTGAACCTCCAGCCGTAAGTCAATGTCAATATCCAGCTTCAGTATCAATGTGGAGCGGAAATCTCCTCCATCACAGCAAAGACTGGTCAACTGGTGTCTCCTGAGGCCAGGGTGCAAACGTCAGCAAAGGCTGAGATTCCAACTGCATTCTTCCAGCCCATAGACACAGTGGAATAGCATTTGGATAAATGTCACGCCAGCGTGCCAGTTATTTCACCTGCTTTTTTCCATGCCAATCATCCAAGTACTGTAGATGTGTCTGGGGGTAAAGCGTGGGCGGTAAGTGGGGGTGGGGAGGGGCGGGGAAAGAAAGCAAGAAGGAAGAGAATATCAGCACATGATTGTACCAAGCCTTTGGACCAGCTCTCATATGGCAATAATATTTAAGTTTCGAAGGAAGGTTGGATGGCATACGTGGCTTAACTGTAAAACAGTTTCCAATTCTACTTGCACTATCTTCTCACTGTTTCTAACATTCAGTCAGTCATGGTTACTGCACGCCGCAAGTTATCATCTGCACATTTCAAACCTATCAATATCTTCCCTGGTTCACCTTCCTAATAAGGAAGCAGCTGGATGCTGTCTGCCTGTCAGTGGCTATCTGCAGTGCCTAACCTTTTTATCACAGTTATTAAAAATAGTTTTCCTAATCAGCAAAGATGGTCACACATGAGAGCCAATCCTCTGGAGCATTTAATAACAGCATGCTTGGGCCTGGGATGTGAAAGTCCTCCTCTACAATCAATTTACTTTTAAGTGCCGATTCGGTGTAAACTGAATTGATACAGGGAGAAAAGAGAACTTCCACTGATTTAACACCTTGCGATCGACTCTGCTGTTGTTGACTTGCTGTTAATCGAGCCGTATATGTGTTCATTTGAACCTCTTTAGATGCAAACCTCCACAGTAGATTCACTACTGAGGCAATAAAAAAGATGTGCTAGGCAAGGCGAGGGGCACTGCTTCTTAGAGAATTATGGATTTGTAGCACTTGTATTCTGTACAAGCTTGTGCAAGCTGCCAGCAGAAATGCAGTAAGTGTTATTGAATTGAATTTCATTATTTCATTATTGAGTTTCATTTAATGCAGGTAAAAACTCTGAAAGAAAACACTGGCAGGACATCAAAGGGTATACTTCCCGCATTTAGATGACGCAAATTCCTCAATGCATGCTGGAAATTTATTTTCAAAAATGACGTGGATAACCATCCTTAGTCGCCTACCGATTAGATAACTATTCACCAACATAATGCCAGAGGATCTCAGAGATGAGAAGAATATACGTACACGTCACTGAATAGGACAGGTGAATCAGAACGGTGCGACTGCAGATCCTGCATGGCATTCCATTCATTGATAAAGATCTGGTGTGAATTGATGCGACTTTCATAGTAACTGATCCACGTTAGGTAAAGACTCCCTGGGTAGTAGTTGTACGTCCTGGCGATATCACAGGCTTTGTGCAAACTCTGCAAGGCAGACCTTTGAACAAAAAATAATAATAAAAAAATTAATCATCAAAGGCTGTCACGTACAAGAGGTTTTCAAAGACTATCTGGTACTAAAATTGTAGACGAAACCAATTTGTCTTTTAGGCGAGGGAGGAAAAAAGAATGAATAATTTGTTTGACTAAACTGAGCAATGTCTACCAAGAGTGCTTAGAATCATCCTTAGACCATTGTACTTTCTGATTACTTTTCCAATGAAAATTCTTACTCTATAAGGCTGTACGGTTTAACGATAAAAGAAATTCATACAGACAATTCAGAAGTTCTCACCACATTGCTTGGACAGAGACAGGCTTGAAGATATGAATTCTGTTCACTGTTGACACACTAAACCCCCTGGAGAAGAAATTAATAGTTTAGAAATGGCAGATTTTACACCAGAGGCATTACAGAAAATATCCAGGTATGGAAGTGCAGTGATGATACTGTGCACAGAGCAGTAAAGCATGGGCCTTCTGCAAACTATCTCTATATCAATAATTTCTGATAGCAACACAAAGAGGTAGTAGATGGAGGCGGGGCATTACTCCACAGGAAGGTGAGTTTGGTGGGATCACCCTAGGGAACTAAGGTCCATTGACACAGGTCTGGAGGAGGCATCCTGCCATATTGGGAGCAGTACAGGTACACAGCTAGAGATACGAAGACATCAGCGGAAATGAATAATGTAACTTTCTTTCAGCAAAAAAAATTCAAATTTTATATCTTTCAGCTTAGTTTACTTAGTTCTAACAAATGATCAGGTTACATTTACCATGCTTCCTGGGGTAATACTGTCCATTTCTCTGCAGTGTACAAGGCAATAGCCTCTGCGCTGATCAAGTGCCAAGATATTTAAACAAAACATGTTTATTGTTGAACGCCAGTTAAGATTCTGTAAGGTCATAATGCCATACACTATTATGACAGAAAGGTACTGCATTGTGATTGAGGGAATGCCAACTGGCATGTGCAGGACATACATTACACTATACAGCCTCATTATAAGACGATTGTTGGGAGTCCATGAAATCACAACCAGCAATATAATGGGGCTCAATCAATCACCGCGCAGTTTTACCGTATGCACTGTGCGTGCAAGCAGAAAGCCAACTTGATTCCCAAAAAACAGAGCCAAATTAATTTCTGCATGTATTTTGGATATTTTGGTAAGTAAATGTTGGGGTTTGCACCCCAGTTGAGCTACAAGTGAACCCATGTTACAATTCATGCTACTGTACGTGGAACGTTTAACACTGATAACTGATGGTTATACCACTGTGTTTCTATAATACAACTCGCTCATCATTTGGAAGCACTAAATGTGAGCCCGGTGGACATTTACTGAAATTAAAGACACATTAAAAATGTGATTGTATAATTAAATGTGCAATCAGTTTAAATTGTGCAGTTTGTTTCAAAATTGTTTTGGATAAAACTGTGACGTAGGAAATCACACACACAGCACAGAAAGATCTCAGTATAGAAACAAAAAACACATGAGAAATGGAACGGAAGGACTGACTTCAAGAATTAATATACAGCGTTTCGGTTTCACTTTTGCACTAAAGATCGACTCTCATTTCTGTTGTGTTTGGCGGCATTCTTGGCTCAACAGAGATTTCACTTTACAACCTCAATGTTATCGACATCCAAAGTTTTACTGAGAGATTAGATGTGGGAACCTAGTGTACTTACCCGTCACCATCCAAATGGATCAGTGTGTCACTCCATAGTGGAAGAACCAGGCCCATTGTACATGTACTGCTGCAAAGATAACATAATCTGAAGTAAGCATTGTTGCTGTACACTTTGTTGCACTTGTTTCATACAGAAGCCTTCAATAGAAACTAATTAATCGAGGGAGTACATTATTCACCCACTTACATTTGGTACATTTAGTATGGTTTGGAAATGTGAAATGGGCAATTGTTCCTACAAGTATCAAAGTAACTATAAGTGTAGCGTGCAGGGTAACCTTAAACAGTTTAATCCTACATAATGCTATTCAAACAAAAAGAAAATTGTAAGTAGTACAGAATATAGTCATGTAGGTGCAAATTAGTATATGTTACTAGAAAAGGACTCTTAGTAATAAAAATAATGCTTGCATTTGATATAGTGCCTTATCACGTTTTCGAGACGTCTCAAAGCGGTTCACAGAATATACTGTAAAGTGAATTGACTGTATTTTGTGGGCGAAATTTAAATAAATATAAATTTAGTGGAATTTAACACCTGTCAGCACTATGCAACGGGTCTTTAAAATGACCATTCCAATGTGGAAACCATGCTTACTGTAACCATTATATAGCACTGCTAGTTAGAGAGAGCAGTGCAGTTCAAGAAGACACTTATAACACAAATAATTTCTGTTGACTACACAAGATGACCTCATGGAAAAAGTTTTATAAAAAGCTCCCCATGGTTGGAGGATATTTTTAGGTTCCCTCGCCAGCAAATGCTAATCACTCTCTTGCCCCTCCCTACCCCCCGTCCCCACTCCCACACAGCCACGTGTTTAAGCCATTTCTGGAATCACCATCCTGACATGCAACTATAAAGAGAATGTTGTCCTGGCTACGTGGCAACAAACTATGCTGTTACAGGATTCCATGAAGAACTTGATAGACATGTGGCGAATAATCTGCCGGATCATGAGTTCTCAAATGTATTTCAGAGATGCCGCGTTGGCAAGCAACTGCAGCAGGAAGGTCTTTAAGCGGTAATTTGAGCTTTATCAATATTCTGAGAAACAGAGAGACATAATTGATAATAACCTTTACTTGTCCCTCAACTGTATATAAACGCACACAGTCATTGGACCCGAGAAACCAAGATGAACTGTTCATCCAAACCAATGTAAAGCATAGGCTTGAAACAAGATTAATTACAGTATTTCATACAGATGAGAACTTCCTCTTCTTCTAATGTCCAAACACATTTGCAAGGCATCCTCTTCTGATGGATTTTACCCTTTGTCCTATTTAATCCTGATTTCACAAAGTCAACAATAGGGTAAAATCTGAATGTCCCAACACATTCAGTGGCAATATGTTCATTGGCATTTTAAAGGCTTTCATCCAAATCAATGTCTGGAAATCAATGCTGCCCTATTTGACTTTTTTTTCGCGAAAGTTAATTTGGCTCAAGGTTATTTTAACATTATTCTTTTTCAGCCCAAGTAAAGTGATATTCTGTTTGTAAGGCACTGCTGTGCGCAAATTGGCTGCATGTTCGCCCACAAAATACCAAATTGCTCCAGTTTACAGTATATTCGAAGAAGTGCTTTCAGTGTCCTCCTGACATGAAAGGCTCTATACCAACTATAAGGATTATTATTTAATCATATTTAAGGGGCTAAATGTCATACGTGCAAGGTCCTTCAATTGGAAAACTCATGCCACAAAATGAAACACAAGCACAACTTTGTCACTGATCTGAAATACATCCTAAAATCTGAGTGCTTAAATGCAAAGATTGCAAATCTCTACATCTAACAATTCAATCTACCTTTTGTACCCTTTTCTCCCAGTGTGAAGGGCCCAGCTATGTACAATGTTCTTCACTACGCAGTTAGACAGGTTTTGAAATAGGGAAGGAAATTCATAAATTCTACTAATACCTGTAAATATAATGCATTAAAACACACTGCTAACCACAATAGTTCCAACAATAACAAAGTTGTTGAAATCTTTTGGAAGTACTATAATTGGAGATGTAAGTGAAGTTATTTAGCATTTCCCAGTTCATTCACTGAAATAAGTTTTATTTAATAATAATCCTCGCGTTTGATATAGCGCTTTTCACGTCTTCTAGACGTCTCAAAGTGCTTCACAGAATATACTGTAAAGTGAATTGACTGTATATTTGTGGGCAAAACGCGGCAGCCAATTGTACACAGTAGTGTCCCACAAGCAGTCGTGGACTGAAGTGATCAATTTTATTATTGTGTTTTTTTTCTTGAGGGATTATTATCAGTCGTGTGGAGTAAGGAAACTTGCCCAAGATTTCCCTCTGCCGGGAATCAAACTCAGGTCTCTCGCTTGCAAGGCGAGTGCTCTAACCACTGAGCTACAGGATTTAAAGCATCAAAGGATTTAAAGATTTTTCCAACAAATCAATTTCATGACAAACCCGAACTCCCTTTGAACTCATAAGACTTATTTCAGCACATCAATTCCCACCAATCTGCTGTAGAACTGCCAGCAATAAAGGCACCCCATAGGAAACAGATTAATAGGTCTGCACTGTATACAGCAAATACACAGCAGCAATCTAGCAAGGACGGTTCAGATGATGGAACAATGAACCATGGGTGGTTCAGAATAGCTTATGAAGTGATCGCAAACACGTTAACGGAATTAGTCTAGGTGTTGAGTTTACAGCAGTGCTTTAGCATACAATCTTTGGTCAAAGCTCAACTTCTAATGATAAGCCTTGTATTTCATATAGCGCTTTTGCATAATAATAATAATCCTTACATTCGATATATCGCATTATGTCTTTGAGACTTCTCAAAGCGCTTCACAGAATATACTGCAAAGTGAATTGACTGTATATTTGAAAAGTCTCAGAGCGCTTCACAGGGGTCTTTGTGCGATTGTGCAATTGCAGGTGAACTTAATGACAAAGAAAAACACCTTACATTTTCCAGCGCATAAGTTAAGTTGCCAATGAAAGGGTTAACACGCTAAGATAATAATAATAATTCTTGCATTTGATATAGAGCCTTATCACGTCTTCGAGATGTCTCAAAGCACTTCACAGAATATACTGTAATGTAAATTGTACGTTTTGTGGGCGAAATGCAGCAGCCAATTGCACACAGCAGTGTCCCACAAACAGTTATTGAGATCGAGCGAACACATTTTGAATTTTTTTTCTTTTAAACAAGATATTAAACAAGCTGAGAATTTCTTACCTGTCTTTGGAGAGAAAATCCATTCCTAACACAATGCTTTCTTCCGTGTCCTGTCTACCATTGGTGGAGACGACCACCATGTATCGGGTGCATTGTGTGCAGCTGCTTTCCAATCGGACGGCCTAAGGTCAACAAAAACATTAGCGTAAACCAAACAGTTCTAAGCCGCTTTTATTTGAAGTGCTTGATTAAAAACATATTGTTTCATTCAAGTCAGTTTACTTCATCCTCTTCCAGCTGAAGATGAAGTTCCAGTTTACTATATTGCCAACGCCAGTTGTACAGAGCCAGTTTAAATAAAAGTGTAGCCTTTATTGTATCGTGCATTTTTTACCAGTCACATCTGTAATTTGAATGTTTATTTAGTTATTCTGTCAATCAGTGTGATATAGATGGAGGGGTATTTGACATTGAAGTTCACTGCAGCCCAGAGTTCAAATTCTTTTTTAAAATTAAATCTATAAATACTGCTGCATAAACACAACAGGTATGATTAGATAATGCTCATGAATAACTGCTGGTTACAGACCTATATTTGGCTTTTATTGGGTAGGAAACATAAGGAAACATAATATTGCTGAAAGGTTGCTGAAATAAAGAACTCAAATCCCTAATCTGAATTAAGTTCAGAAACATGAATGCCTAAATAATGGTGCCAAACATTTATGGGAGCAGCACAAAATGACTTGGTTACCAAAACGCCTGTGAACAAACACCTGCCACGTCACAAGATTTACTGTAAATAACATTTGCTTTTACAGGAGATGCAAAGGAAACTTCCTCTAAATCCCTACAGCAACAATGGTTATTTTTAGTTGTCTTTGGCAATGCTCTGCTGCATTGAGCAAAGGCAAACTAATATAATCAACACTTAACCAACTCTTTATTGAGTTTACGTGTACTGTGTTGCTAAATTTGCTTGGAAACGGCTGACTAATACTGTTGGAAGGCACTACAAAGGTGTACACACTTAAACTAAGTGGCCACTCTTCAAGCATGTCTTTATGGCGAGTGCTGGCAAGTTATTCGACTGTGAGAAACTTATATAGCTAAGGCAAATTGTGTCCTCGCCCGACATGTACACACCCATACTTTTCAGTAGGATAAGGATCTAGAGTGGTTACCAGGCTATCGTTTCCCCTGACTAGCCCAGGAGCAACTTGCCTCTCCCTCTGTGTGGAGACCTTGTTGAAGCCTCTCCTTCAGTCATCTGGAAAGTTACGTTTGAATTTCCACACAAGGAAGAGGGAAAAAAAATTCCTACACTGGTCACAGGAAATTACACCAATGTAGAATAAACAATGGCAATAGATAGTACAAATGTTTGCGCAGAGACTCAAATGAAACTCAAATAAGGACCTAAAATAAGGTGCTGAGTGATGCTACTTTCTATGTTGTAACTTTGGGATCTAATTTGCCAGTCGTGTTAACCATGTGTACAGGGGGAATTTCCAGGGCCCTCAATAAAAACAATCTTGCTATGTAAAAGTCTCAGTGCGCTTTGCTAAACCTGGAGGCTCAAAAATTACAAAACAGAATAAATACAAAAAGATGCTTTCTGTGAAGAGTCAGACACCAGACATGTATGTTAGTAGGTTCGCACTCTAAACCTCGTAAGGCAGGAGCAGAACTAGATCCAGCCACAAGGCAAAGTGTCCATTTGAAAGGATTAAAGGGTGTCCAAATTATACAGCCTGTCTATGTAATCCATAACGACAGTCATTCTAAATCCTAGATCTATGGGTCATACCCCTATTGTCACCTATTCAAACGTCATTCGGATAGTTGTACATCTATCAGTAGAGGGGCTACAAATATACAATACAATTTACATTTATATAGAGCCTTTCATGTTGGGAGCTCAATATCATGCAAAATTGTAATGTCCATCCAATATTCTTCTACAAATTTCCTCCTAACAGTTTTGATGGGACTTTTCCAAAACTCATAACAATACAACTTCAGAGCATTTCAAATGCTGAGATGGTTTAAATTCATCAAATTAGATGCCCTCTAATGAAAATAGATCAATCGACCAATAGCTGGGAGCAGATGTTGGAGCTTGGAACTGAGACATTTTAGGCTGGATTCACTACTCCTGTTACTAGTTACATGGAATGCAACCTTGACTCCTAGAAAAACATGTCACCAGGAACTTCTGTGCAACATTTAGAACACTGTCTATCTCATTTCTTTGGAATTGTAAAGCAAGGTCATGCTGTATAAACCCTTTCCACAAATGCCTTTTGATTTACAGTGTATCCCAATTATTGGCATGTTGTTAGGAATTAAATATAAGGGAGTTATATTTGTAATTGTATGACCTAAAGAGTGATTACTCAATGACAACCACAAAATAGGGGTGCAGCTAGACATTAGAGTATTATACAACTGAATTGAAAGTTTTCTGCCATTAAAGAAGTTATGTAAGTAGCCAAGCAATTTATAATAATCCTTTCATTTGATATAGTACCTAATTGCCACTGAGACGTCTCAAAGCGCTTCATAGGATTTTACTGTTTCATGACGGTATTTGTAGGCAAAGTCAGCAGCCGATTTGCACACAGCAACGTACCACAAACAGCCATGAAGTGAATGAGCAATTTAATTTGGGAGATTGTTGGCCAGGACACTTTCACTGAATGAAATCAATGCAATTCCTCAAATACATTACTATTGCACCAACTTACATTTGTGAATCTAGAGTGCAATTTGAAAAGAAAGTTTAAAACTTATTAATTTGGGTTAAAACTGGCCTCATGTTGCCCTTTCTTCAATGAGGGCAAGGTCATGTTGGTTCAATGTATCCACAACAACGGAGTGCTGGACTGCAGAGAACCTGATCAGTGGAAATTAGATCCAGGGACCAAGTTGTATCATGTATATAAATTACAGGAATCAACCAAGGTCAAAATCTCTTGCAGCAAAAAAACCTAATAACCATATTTGGTAAAGCAGTTTGGATTTATGCAACAATGTGACTTTAAAGGGAATAATGGCTGGAGTGTCAGCTAATGAAATTAAGTGCATTGAATTTATAAAGGCATTTAAACTTTCAGAGCATTGCTAATTATTTGACTCACTATTTGCTCCAATTATTGTTGCCCTGGGAGCAGACACATCAGGTTTCACTGATTTCATCTTCACCATCTCCACATTCTTCCAATGCCATTCAGTCTCTCTTCGCTTACCATGACGCCCTGGTTACTGCACCATGTTCTGCGGTGTATCGAACATTCCTGGTGCACATCAACAGCTGTGGTCACACTGCCTGCATTCAGCATTCTTGTATTTAGGGAAAGTGCAGCGCCACGTGGTTACAAGTCAATACATACGCACTCCCAGTAATCAAAAGGAGCTAACGGGATAGTCAGAACTTTTCTATCATTAAAAATCTCAGCACGTGGGCTCCACAATTAATCCGATGGTAAAGCCACTGCCTAGAGTGAAACCCAAAAGGTCACAAGTTGAATTTGCAAGTTCAAACATTCAAGGACACCAATTATCTGTGAATGCTACAACAGGAAAAAATGTTGAAGCAAACTGCACTGATCGTAGCCTTGACTTCAGTGCTGATACAGTAAGGAGGAAGAAAGAGTCTGATGGTAATACAGTGTTGGCATTGGAAGAATGGACGCATAACTTTTCTGACCACCAAGTTCGTCCATGTAGTGCAGGGAATTCATTTTTTCTTTGGCTGACAGCCAGATAAATTATCAACCAGTGGGGCAGTAAAGGCAAACCATCATGAACTGCAACTTAAATGTTGTGTGTGTGGCAACAATTTTTGTTCTCATTCGCCGATATATATATATATATATATATATCTGATATAGAATCTGGCTCACCCAGAACCTCAGGCAATGTTGCTGAACTAAGTCAGCAGCACAGATACATTCTAGAGTGCTGTATACACAGCAAGGTAGTGGCTAACTCAGAAGGGACTTGACGTAGATTTGTTTCCATTTGTCTACAACAATTACAGTAATTTTAGTCCTTGCATTTAATGCTTTGAGAAACTGAAAGAATTGCATTGAAAGTACGACCCGAACCTAGGTTACATGGTTTTCCAGAATACAATTCAGCTTTAATGACCGATATACTGTACTAAACTCCTACATCCCATAGAGTTATGTCTAGGGGGATAGAAATGCAGAAAATGCAGTAGAATTTGTAATGGTATCAGTATTTTTCTTGGCTTAAGATTGCACAAATGCAGATACGAGGGTGACCTTGATTATAATTCATATCAGTCAGTTTTTTAGAATTATCATGAAGGCAATCTGTAAGCAATTAACATTCGAGATTCTATCTTGCGCCACCCCACCCCCAAAAATACCACAAGGCAAACTACCATCATGAAGAACTAGTTGAAACTGTCGCCTTGGCACTTTCTTCAAAATCTTTCGCATCTTTAATTGTTAAAATGGGAATTACGGAATACAGAGACAAATTTGTAAGAAAGAGAATACATAACTGAAGCCTAAAGATTTTATTTGTTAAAATCAACCCTTTATTCTTAATTATAATCTTAAGGTAATAAATACTTGCATTTGATATAGCACATTTCACGTCTCTGGATTTACTGTAAAATGTAGTTACTGTGTATTTTGTAGGTGAACCAGGTAACCAATTTGCACAGAGCATGTTCCACAAATAGCCATGATGTGAATGACTAATTTATTCAATTTTATTTATTTATTGGGGTGTCAGCCTAGACTATATTAATTCAAGGTCCCGAAGTGGGGTTGAACCCAAAACATATTGACTGAGAACTGAGAGTGCTACAAACAAAACCATTTGTTCTCGTGTCAAAAAATATAAATTTTGGTCAGCGCTTTTGCTTTGTTTATGCTCTTAGTTAATTGTTAGGTGTGACTGGCACCTGAGACTATCTGACTAGAGCAGGTTGTTCTACATACCCATAGTGTTGACTGACAAATCTGTATGTAAACAGATCTATTAAAAGGGTTAAATTGGTTTTTTTTTTAATCAAATTGAAAATTATTATGAAAGTTTAAAAACAAAAGGAATTGTGAAATCATGGAAGCTTCAAGATTTGGGAAATGGGAGTTTAACTTCTTATGCTTCAGTGCTTTGGGACGTCCTCCCAATGTGAAAGGCGCTACACAAACGTAATTTGTTGCTGTTGTTTTTCTTATCACAGTGCTCAACTTCAAAATAACTTCGCAACAATGCTGGGAACAGCAATAAGGCCACCTGATAAAATCCCTATTTGGAAAAGCAGTTTTAACACTGAGGGTCTCGAAGGTTTCCCCAGAGTGAAATAAGAGAATAAGATCACTGATTCCATAAGTTTGCTTCATTCATTTTTCCTATTGCTCCATGTAAGACTTTAAAACCGGTTAAGCTCCTGTGAGCATGCCAGCTCACTTATAAAAGGCAAGATTACAATCTGTTAAGTAATTGTTGAGCATTGTAAGCCTTCTCTGGCTTGTTTGATTTGGTTGCGTGTATTGCTTCAGCATTTTTAATGGGAAGTGAATGCAGGATAAAACTACAAATATGTGCATGAACCAATTATTCAATAAATAGATCTGCACTAAAATGAAGCATCGCTCGGTGTTTTCTTCTGACAGTGATACATTGAATTTTGCAGTGAGAATTGACAAAAGAAGGTCTTATCAATCAATACGCATCTCCATCCACACCCAAGGAGTATGAAGTGCGTAATTAATTTAACTAATTAATTTAATTAATTAATTTAAATGTAATTTACAGTAATTATGCGCCTTGAGACGTCCTCTCGACATGACAGGCGCTTTACTATAAATATGTGCATGAACAAATTATTTAATAAATAGATCTGCACTAAAATGTAATTTTGCTGTTGTAGTAATTTGGATCAGACCATTGGCACACAAGTGCAAATCCTGAACGTAGAATCTGCCAAGTCAGCAAACAGGAAATGCAACTTCCCTTATCATTGTGGTGTCTCTCTCCCTAAGGGCAAACAGGGCGGATCAAATGTTTTGCATGCGGTAGTGTTTACCAAAAGAAGCATCTATATCTCAAGGTGTAGGTTTTGATGCATTTCCATACCTAAATTTCATCTACACCAGATTAACTTCAAAGACACAAAATACCATTGACTATTAAGCAAATGAAAAATGTGGGTGGGGATTGATGAAGATGTACTGTGAACACACTGGCATTGAATATCTACTATGAATATCTACACAACAAGCCAGGCATCCGATACAGAAATCTGATAAGAGCTGAATATGAATCCTGGGTGTTTGATGTGATGTACACTGTGATACCGTTATAAATTAGTTATTCATCCAAGAAGAACAGGCTATCATAAAATATTTCCTTTTATTAATAACATTTGTGATTGTTCTTCCTTTTCAGTCTCGGCTTCACCCAAGCATTGCTCCGCAACTAACTTTGGGCTGAAAATCCCATTTCAGGTCGCTGTCGATGTCAATGTAGAAACACTTGATAACTTAACAGTCTTGGTGTGACCACCCTTTCAATCTTCTATTTCCCCCTTCCACGATGGATGGAGTTTGAACCACTCAACACAAAGTGAGCTTCTAATCTCAGTGGAAGAAACTAAATAGATTCCCAGTCAGCAAGTTAAAATGCACTGCTCTTTCGCACTTTGTGGCAGTCGGTTTAAAAGCTAGGAAGTAAGCTGTGGTGGTGTAAGAGAAAAAAAACAAACAAGGAGATCAAAGTAAATTATTTTGAAAAAAGCTCATAGAGAATAAGTCACTGATTTTGCCAAAGGCACTGTTTTCAGCATCTAATGATATAGAAAAGGTGAGAAATTCACATGTATAACTCACCAGTCGAATATTGTCTTCTGGTCTAAGAAGGGTAAACATCGCCTGTAGGTGCTGCTGAAGGTCACCTGAAAGGAAGAAAAACACAACAAAGAGGTGGATTAGTTTTCACTAATTGTTCTAAACTCTTTTGGTCAGTTCAGTAATTCATGTCATTTCTGATTTAGACCCATGTTAAAACTACAAAGACTGAGCTGTTCCACCTTTGATTGTATTGAAATTGACCAGACTACTTTAAATCGTGAAGATTCGCATCAGACAACACAGGACAGGTGATTAATATTCCTAACAAGCGGAATAAATAGGAGATTCCAACACTCGCAATCGCTCTTCAGAAGCAGATCTTTTCAGTTCAGGTTTAATGCACGTAATGTTTTCTTTAAATCAATTAAACTGTTGAAGACTATAGATTAGTTCTTGGGAAGTGAGGGTATTGAAGGATACGTTGAAAGCTGTGAAAATCGTATTAGAAAGACAAAGAATTACTATTAAACAAAATAGCAGAGGAGGTTCAATAGTCTGAATGACTGACTCCTGTCCCTATGACCCTAACAATTTCTTCAAACTGCGATCTCTTTAGTTTCTGAACAAGGGGCACTGCCAAAAAATAGGCTGTTTAATATTCTCATGCTTGGTTTTTCTTCTGGAAAAACACTTCAATCTTTAATACATTTATGTAAATACAGCAATTGGATTGGAGTACCAAAACTGTATTCTTTCACTGCTCCGAAATTTGGCCTGTGCCAACACTCAAAAGAGAGTAGGTGATAGGGGATGGATTCATTTAATCCTGGTAGAACAGTTTAGGAAGTAGATAAAAGAACTGCTCGCTCAGTGGGATTGAAATAAAACTGACAACTTCATGTTTTGATTGAAATACTTGAGCTTTCAACTCCACTAAGAGAGTAAACCGGTATCTGCAATTTCTTTGAAACACTTATGCCATCGCGCTGTTTTTATTTAACAAAAGCTTGTGTCAGAACACAGACTACAGACAGGCCAGGCACAAGATTATATCAGCATCTTATTCTACACAGTAATCGACTTGTGATGTGGGTAATGTGATCCAGATCTTGTCGTCATTACTGAAAACATCACAGCCAGTTCTAATATGAACACCAGGACACATTGGACCAGGAGGCAACCAAACATATTGACAAAGAGGCAAGGCTTGAGGCAGGATTTGAAAATAGGGAGGGAGGAGCAAGTTGGAGGAACTCTGAGATGGGAGTTCCAAAAGAGGGCAGACTGGCTCGCCCATCGAAAGTGGGGCAGATAGGATGGCGACAATAGCAGGCTAGTATTAGCTGAGCTGCTGGAGGTCTCAGAGGTGGAGGTGGAGGGATTTGAAAGTGAGGACGAGCACCTTGGATTTCATTTGCTTTAAAAAAAATTGGATACATTTCAACAATAAATTGACTCGAACGCGACATTAGCTCGAAAGCTTGACAATTCTCGCTGTTTCACACTTTTTCCTCCACAGTAAAGTCTACTTGGAACGTAAAATAAGATTGAATAGAAATGTATTTTTAAACAACAACTTGGATTTATATCGTGTCCTCCATGCCCGACGGCGTCTCAGAGCGCTTGTACCAGCTGTCTGGACATGAAACAAGGTCTCCAGAGATACCAGGAGTGTTCAAACTAACTGTGCCATCTGCCGCCTCCACGTAATTGTCAGAAAATGGCTCTCAGTAACTGGAAAACATCCATCTGAATGATGTGACAGTATTCGGAATGATCTAAATTTGTTTTAAAACAATCATTTATTGTTAAGATATATTAACAGCCAACAGATGGTTCAGAGATCCTGGCAAAGAACTGAATTCCTCAGGTGATATATTATTACTTTCATGCCAGCTTTCTGTAATACAAATAAGCACCTTTTCAGTTTGCGGGAAAATTACCTGCATGTTTATTGCGTCGATGGTTGATTCTGGGTGTGGGTGAGCCATTTCCTCGAGGCAGGAATAGAGCAGCTCCCTTCACAGTTAAGAAACTCTCACTTATACTGTGGGAGGAAAAACACACACCATTTTTAGCATAGCTGGTCAATTAAAGTGAAAAGATCTAAAACATGAATACCAGAACAATGATACAGAAGAATCCTGTTACAATCACTTAACTGCTCTGCTAACATTAAAGACATAGAAATCCTCTAAGCAGGTCTGACACAGCACTTTACTGCCTATTTTGCAACATCCTGTGGACAAAGCTAATTTACGTCTCTAATTTCTCACCTGCCACATTTCCACTGCCAGCTGCAATGTCAGAGCAGTTTAACAGAGGCCAGACTCTACCCCCGGCGGCAGTGGTGATGGAATAAGACAAGAGCATACTTGTACGCCAGACAGTTGCCTTAAACACAAGTTTGGCAGAGGCTTGGGAATAAACTATCTGTCTGACAAGCTGCCCGTCTGCCCCCTGGCCTGAGCAATGTGGGGGTAGCACTTTGGAGGGGAGATAGAAACTAAAATTAAATTAAAATTTGGAGGCGGTCTAGAATCTTAAAAAAACACTGCTTTCACTGCTATTCATGCCAACACATTCAGTGTATTCTCCTGTAACTGTAACCACTGCAGAATCAAAATATGCAATAGCTTCACAGGACATATGTCATGATGTGGAAGTTTGAAAAATCATTTAAAATATAAATCCAAAGTTTTCTTTACAGTCTGAATGACCACATAACACAGTACCACAGTCCAAGAGCAAAATCCCTAAATACACAACTCAGCCGTGCTATTATTACCAGCAGCGCTCCATAAACAGAATATCCTGACATTTGTACAGTAAGACATTTACTGTACAAATACAATCACCCACATTGTCTGCTCACATGGCAAATAAAGTGCAGCCCTTTCAACACAGAGGTTTCTTTAAGTTTACACCTGGATGTTTTGCAAAACTATCAATTGCACTCAGAATTAACAATATAAAGTGTACGTGATTATGAAGTACAGTACAGTCTAGTCCTCAGGTTGCTGTATTAGGTACTGCAATGGACATGTAAGCAACTGACATGTAAACTTAGAACAAAATAACTCAGCACCACCTGCTAGTTGAACTCAACAAGTTTCCATACTGTGATAGCCCACCCGGTTATACCTCACAAGGAGAAATTTCAACTATGCTAAAGTTGGAAGGTGCTGAAATTGTATTGGCGAGATTTGGTAAGGTTGGTAAGCGTTGGTGAGATGTGAAATTTCAAATTAACCCAATTTCTATTCCCTACACGGGCATCAGTCACTCACTCATTCTGATCCTGTTGTGATTCTCAACGTCACACTTTCCAGCAACTGATTTTATTTTAAATAATTGATTCTCCCTCCCTCCATACCCTCTGCTCCTCTTTTGAATAAACTGACTGATCATGGGGCGTGGTTCTAAACATGCCTGCCGCCTTATGATACAACCTAAGACATGGGTTTTGCATATTTGTATGTGTGCCTGTGTGGGTGGAATTGAATAGCCAAGCTTTGATCTGTCCTCACCTGACATCCGGGGACACTTATATTTTTGAACAAGGTACCAAGATAATAAACAGAAACCCAAGATGGTTTATCTCAACCCCTATTCAGGGACACAGAAACCAAGTATAGTACCTCTACTGCTAACTCAGCTGGGACCAGCCTGTTTGCATTTGAAGCTGCTGTGCAGATCTCCAGTTGCATCTTTGACCGCAAACTTGACGGCCTAACGTCATAGCAAGTTCCCACCCTTTTCAGTTCTGCTTTCTGATGGGAGATACAAACTGTACCCTTTCCAATAAAGGATTGCACAAATTTCACAAATGAAGTCAACAGAGACACTGCTCTTATGGAATTGTTTTTTTTAAAAACAGCCGAAACTCAGAACAAAAGAATAACCAAAAATGTGAGGTTATTTACATGCTCTTAAATTGATAAACTCAATCAGGTTTTTAAAAATAAGGGATTCTGGATATTGCATGGAACAATAGAACATTTACAGTACAGAAAGGGTGTGATAAATGGATACTTTAAGACTAGTTCTAGTAGGCTAAGTCCCAAAAGTCACTCATTTGAAAAACTGCCCCAAAAAAGTCAAATACAGTAGGTCCAACTTTTGTGCAGTGAAGTTTGCTTGCCCAACTCTTTTGAGGACCAACATATAAACAAACATACAACTGTGATAATCATACCTACAATTTCTCATAGAAAAAGGATTGTTTAAAATTTTGATTCCCATCGCACAGCTGCTGCTTAATACAATGGGTAACACTGTACAGCATGACTGGATTCTGATTTGGACAAATGGGCAGCCCTGGACAGATAATTACTCAGGCCAAATGTGCAATAATAATAATAATAATAATCCTTACATTTGATATAGCGCTTTTCACGTCGGGAGGACGTCCCAAAGCGCTTCACAGAACACAATGATTCTATGCAGGACATTCCACTGCATCCATAAAAAACATCCACGTTTGTTTGTTTGGAACTCTAAAAGGAAAGCGTTCAAATTTACAGAGCTTATAGATTGCAGCAGGAAGCGATGACTGAAAGAGATAAGGAATTTCAAAATCTTTAGTTTCTGGAAAACGCCACAAGAAGCAGGAGGGGAGGGTGCAAGGAGTTCTGATTTCAACACAGTGATGATACAGAGAAGTAATGTTGGACATGATGTCCCGGACTTGTTAGTTTGTAAATTTGACAGAAAAATAAATCTTTGAATCATTTTTCTGTACACCGCTGTTTCAAAGTTGCATTTTTTTTCCAAAAAAGTCACATCACACACTAGAATATTTCTTATTCCTGTGCTTGACAACACTTCACAGCTACAAAGCAAAGGTATGATGACATTGCACTGGAATGAAGCTTCAACCCATTTCATTTAGATCGAATCCTTGCAATTTCACCCCCTCTCTGCAAATCTCTGAATCATACATTTCATAGAGTACTGATCATTCACTCACACTTGTCCTGTAGCCATTTTTCACATCTGAATGTACAGAAGGTACAGAAGGCTAGTTATTGTGATTAATTACTGGGCCTCACTGGTCCTGACACTACTCTCGTCAGACATCCACAATACTGCACTTCCCCGCAGAACCACAGGATAGGAATCAGGAATTTGCCCCCTCTGCAGCCCTCTGTTTGATGGGTACAGGCCTGTTCCATGCTCCCCCTCCACAACCTCCCGCTTGTCCCACCATTGGATGTCAGCCTTTCTGGCCCAACCCACTGGAACTCCATCCCGGAGTCCCTTCACCTTGCCCCTTCCCTTGCCTCCTTCAAGGCCCGTATCAAGACCTTCCTCTTTGACCATGCCTTCGATCACCCTCCCACCCCATCCCCACTGAATATTTCTCTCCCCAAAACAAATCTCACAAGCATAAATCCTTAAAACACTTGTGATATCTAAGATATTTGTGCTGGTAAAGAATTCCCACTTGTCACAAATTAAACTCACTCTCAACTCAAATGAACTTCTACGAAGTGTACTAACATATTCTTCAGAATTAAAACTTCTGAGAAGCAGTGCAATTCTAAGTGAGGAGTCCTGATGACCCAATTTGCACAGAAATAAACTCCAAGTAGGTCATAAAAACATTTTTTCTGCACCCTTCTATTCTACCTTATAATTTCACAGTAGAGAGTTCTGAAGAATGCTTTAGGCATGTACCTTAAAAGTTCATCAGGTTTAGCTAATAGCAAATGGAAACTTCTTGCTATTACTTATTCAGGAGTTCAATGCATGGTGATACAGTAATATTAGCAGACAAATTGCAAACAATATGAAATTGCTTTGATAGGAAAAGTACATTTGGTAAGAGAATCTGCTATATAAAAAATAACCCTTCATAGACATAAAAAATCTTCATGAAGGTGAAAGTTTATTCAATGCAAAGATTGAGACACTGTAATTTTTCATATGCAAAAATGTTCTCATCTAAAAAAATACATCTCAATTGAAATAGGTATAACAAAGTAATCTTTCTCAGTACTATATATACTGTATCATAGTACAAAATGCTCTGAGTTAAACCCCAGTTCTGCTGAGATCAGCAAACCCAATGCTTGCCACTCTCAACTGGATAAAGCATCTTGCAAGCCATTTCACTAGCTTGTAACAACAACAAAATTACATTTCATGTCAGGAGGATGTCTTTTTTAAAAAAAGTGCTTTTGAACGTTTTGCAAGAAACTCGACTTTAATAATCCTAATAACAATCCTTGCAATTTGTATGGTATATTTCATATCTGGAGGACAAATCAAAGCGTTCCACAAGATATACTGTCAGGTGCAGTTGCAATTTTGTAGGTGAATGCAGTATCCAATTTGATTGAAGGGTTTGGAACCAACAAAGTGGTTAAGTGATCAACCAATTTTATTTGAAGGATTGTTGTCTTTGGGCGTATGCTGCAGGTTGAATAAGTCCCCAGGGACAGACGTATTGGAGGAAGTTTATGCCTATTCCAGGAACTAAACCTCTTTGGAGGTGGGAAAAAAAATCTCCAAGATGATAACAGCTCTCCTTCAACTGGAATAACAGGACAATCAGACATAAAATAAACTTTGACATTTGTGAGTTGAAAAACAGCTCTTTCAGTACAAGCGACCAGTGTAATTATATGGCACTGTCTTACACTGTCCTAATGATTTATTCCATATGTTGAATTCAATAGAATGTTGTTTTTAATAGAATAGATGACCACACACCAAAAATACTTTTAAATATTAAATATTGCGGGTAAAGATTTGACTACTCTGCAATAAAAAAAAGGTTGAGACTAGTAAAATGCCACTGGAAGTGAAATTTGTGCCAATGTATTCTCATGTTATTGAAAGTCCTTGCCCAATATGTCAATGTATCCCCTTCCCCCCACCCCCACACGCTCCTGAAAGATCTTTTAAGCACACAAACAGAACTACGTGTGGAAACAATCAGAGCAGCAAAAAGAGAAGTTCATACTTCAGAAAATAATTTGACATCTTAACGAAAAAGCATCTAATACATATTGTCAACTACCCTCTTCCTTCTTTCTGAAAGAGCCCTTATTCAAGACATTTCATAAAGCCACTAACCAGATGGCTATGCGTTTTGTTTTGACATAAAAGAAAAGCAACAGTCCTTTATATTGGTGTAAGGAAGTGGTTGGTTACGGGGCAAAAAAAGCTGCATTAGCCCACACCTGCTGCTTGTAAACATCACATTCAGTCATTGTAACTTCAGGCTAAGATATCGATTTATTAACCACCAACGATCTGACTCACTGTACATAAACATTCCCCTCACCTAATCTGTATTCTCACTGAGCTCCAAGTACCCCTTCTAAAAGCAATTCAAATTGAAGATAAAAGGAAACATAATCTAGGAAATGGTGGCAGGAATCTTCTATTGTGGAGTTTACTGTCTGCCAGCCTTAATGAAAACCGTGAGTTATTATTCTGATCAATTTACTGCTCTATTAAAGTTTAGCTAATTAATTGTTAGCTTTCTTTTTACAATGTTAAAGGTCATTGAATCACAGTTAGTTAAACATGGTTGCACTCTACAAGCAACTATTATTAACGGCGCCGTAATCAAGCTTCTAGGCTATAATAACACTCCAGTAAATGAGAATTGTCTGCTTACATAATTGTAGTGTATCCCCCATTCACCTAGCTTAGGAACAGACAATACAAAAACCAGTAGCAGGATGAAAATTTAGGGTTACGAATTTATAGATTGTTACTTTGCTGCAACAGATAGGTTGAGACAATACATATTCACAGAAAGAACTCTATTTTCAAAACAAAATTAGATGTTTGAATTCAACCCAAAGTATAACAAGATAAAGGAACAGAAATGGCTCATTTGAAATACACCTAAAGCAACAACAACAGTAAAATACATTTGTGCAGCACCCCTCACATCAGAAGGACATGTCTCAAGTCAGTCAATTGTAACAAAATGATACTAACGCTCTTTATCCTTCAAATCACATTCCAGTAAAGATTCTTTTGCAAAACACACACTCAAACAAGATGTATGAAAAATAACGTAGCAAAGGAAGATGTGATACATAGTAACTCCCCAAATTTCTTAGTTTCATGCCCAAATCACTTATTTATAAAAACAACATTCCACTTGTAACCAGCAAGGCATTTCAGTCGGATGCATCTTGTTGGTTGGAATCAATCAAAGGAAAATAAGAGTCTCTCCACGACATTGCAGAACCTTTCTGCAAAGTGCAATTTGCCACTTGAATCCCGGGTTTCATCCCTGGTTTGTGCTGAGTTATCGGATCAAAGCAGTGGTGTTGTGGCAGATGTGTACTGTACAACGATTAACCTCAGTGTTGAGCTAAGGTCAAGCAGATTCAAGAAGAAAATCAGTCAGTGTTCCTACTCCCGATCACCAGGTTTATGAATTTGGGTAAAGATGGGATCAAGATCCACTGTGACACCCTCTCCACAGTGAAATACCCTGCTAACATTCACTGCCTAAGCTTGCACAAGGTGAATCTCCACATAGACGAGGTAGGCTGCTGGCATTCTTGTAACTCTACCTCAGCAATGTCAGCACATTCACTGGCTGTTGTACTAGACCATACATAATGGGAAAGCATAGAAATATAGGCTCATGGAAATCACTAAATAATAACCCTAATCTTGAAAGCTCATGAATGAAGCTCGAGTGGTTTATGACAATCATCTGAACCCCAAAAATTAGATTACAGCCTTGAAATTGCTCCTGTGTATTATTACTGCTATTATTTACAACATTTATGATTTCACTTCAGTGGGACATTTATTGAGTTTCTTTTTATCAATGCATTCTTGGAGCATTACCAACTGCAACATTGTTAATGCTGGTTTACCAAGAAATAATCTGCTGTGGGCTCTCAGGAAATTCTAAACTAATATACCCAGGCAGAGCCCGTTAACTAGGAATCAGATTTAGCAGTCAGATGCTCAACGACAAACAAAATCAGTAATTAGACGGGTACCTGAAAAAAACCCACTATAAAAAGCAGTGCCCCCTTTAATCTTTAGTCTAGCCAGTGCCAATTGTACGCACTTACATGGGCACAACCTTGTACGCAAGCAGGGCTCATAAATTTCAAACCTCACGCCAGTCAATACAGGAAGGCATCTAAGTCAGTCTGTTGCCCTTTAGCATATTCATCAAGGCCAGACTGACTATATATAGCAAAGCTATGTCCAGTATGTTATAACTGCACGGCTGAACTCCACACTTACCCCTCTGTCATCAGACAAGAACCTTCTCAGAAGCCAGTGACTTTTGGTGAAAGTCTCCACCATTTCTGTTGGCAAGATCAAGGCTCTCTCTAGTTGAACTTGAATCAAGGAAGCCTCTTTCTACAGTAACCCAGAAACAACTGAGATTTTCCAGTAAAGTGAGGCACACAAGGAGAAGCCGCTCCCAGGTCATTAACTGGCAAACCTTCAAACACTGAATGATGCAAGCAGTGTTCTTACTCTGGAAAACCTGCAGCAGCAGATCTGCATCAGCATCAATAACTTCAGTTTGAATATTTAATGGGCAACTCTCTAGTCTCACTCTACACTAATATAAAGAATGTTTTGTCAAATATACAAGGGATATACTTTTTTTTAAAAAAGAACAACTTTCTCCCCTCTTTTCATAAATGCCCAGACACAAATGTGGTCTAATTGCCTGGGTACATTTGCTAATGGCACTATTTTTCTTTATGAGCTCAATTCCATGGCAAGCAATCTAAGCCAGCAGTCAACTTCCATATATATGTATATAATCCTGAATACACATGTAAAATTACCAACTAAATTACCAAAGTGCTGAATATTTAGTTGTCTTGAACTTTCATCTCTACCCTCAAATAGTTATAATTTCATTTTTCCTTTCCATATTACTGCTGCAAAAAAACAATTTTAACAGCAGATTATTACATCAGCGCTTTAAAATTTGCACATGTCGAAGAGGCTTCAAGCCAGCTATGAAGTGCCCAATGTTTTGAATTTTCCCCTTTGGCATCCTTATACTTTTATATATAACGCAAGAAAAGATTTGATTGTACCCAGGCAAACTAAACTTAAGAGGATCCAAACCCAAATAATAATACTTGCATTTGATATAGCCTTATCACATCGTTGAGACATCTCAAAGCATTTCACAGAATACACTGTAAAGTGAATTGACTGTATATTTTGTGGTTGAAACACGTGTACTTAAGTTTCACCTATTGTTCATCACATAATAATGGTTACTGGCACTCTGAACAATAACACACCTAAAAGGCAGGAGTGCACTTAAGCCTCTCCTGCCTGAGCAAAACAATGAGTCAGTTTAATTCCGACATAAATAAATCTATGGTTTCCTGTCAGGAGTTCTGGAAGACACAAAATAGGAGCAATAATGAACTATGCCAAGTATTTTTCCCCCAAAATTGAAAGACGAGTGAGAATTATCTAAATAAGAAACCGCAAGTTAAACTGCTGCCTTCATGCTCTATCTGGAGATTTATACAATAGGAATTTTATTTACACTTGTGAACAACCACATAACTCTTCGGCAAGTCTCTAGTGCATTGTGGCCAACCTCACGAGAAGAAACAAAACATTAAAGCTCATACCACAAAAGTATGGAGGATTTCACCAAAAACAAATGTTAATAGTTTTAGCTAAAATTTAGTATCAAATCCATATACATGTATGTATATGTAGCCTATGCATGAAGTTACCTTAGACACTTATATTGTTTCCCTCGTAACCTTGCGCATATGGAAATGAGTACATGCACAGTCCCGGAAACTGAGGTACTGAACACCATCTCGAAAGCCAAACTTATATTGGTTAATTTGATTTCTATAAATTAACTCAGGGAGAAAATAGTTTACTACCGAATGACTTTCACCAAAAGGTTTTCTTTTGTGAAAATTGATAAAAATGGGCTGTAATGGTCCTTACATAGATTAGACGAGCAAGGTTAAATTGACTTTCTCATTGGTTATTTGGTGGAAAGAAGGAGGGCAGTTTCAAACCACCAAGTCTGTTTAATCATGCAGTTGCTACACCGTACATTGGCCTTTGTCATTCTTATCAGAACCCAGGATTTCACAGTTTAGCGGCACAAAAGGAACCGTGGTCATCTTTACATTCACTTTACAGTGTGTTCTGTGAAGCGCTTTGGGACGTCCTCCCGACGTGAAAAGCGCTATATCAAATGCAAGGATTATTATTATTATTATTATCTGCAATGTATCCATCGCCTAAAATTTAAAATTAACTTCAAAAACAATAGCCAACTCTAAGCCCTCGGGTAGTTTGAGCACCAACTACCATCTGGTTTATAGTAACCGGCTCCTGCCTTAAGTTTTCAGTTCTCTTGTACCAGGTCCGGCTGAGGATCACAGAATGTTTACTGCAGAGAGCATCATTTGTCCTATTGTATGAGTGCTCCCTACTGGAGCTAATCCCAGTCCTAAGAAGGACAACACGATTTGAAGAACACTATCAATAATGAAATGACTGCAAAATAAAACAGCTGCCTATACCCCCCCCACCCCCCCCCCCCCCCCACCCCCACCACCCAAAAAAAAAACACTGAACAGTTAGTTCCGTAGCGACCATTTGACACAATGCGTTTTTCTCCTCTTGGACGCATGAATGGTATTTGCATCCATAACTTTACAGTGTAAAATTCAATCACTACACACTTGGGAGCAGAGCTGCCACACAACTGTGTTCACTCCACACACCCGATGAAATTGGAAATGCATTCACCAACTGGGTTGTCCATGTAGTCCGCACGGTAAGTGCTCTAAACTAACCAAATAAAGCATTGCACTTTGCCAAAAAACAACTACTGCACAACGCTCAACTGGGAGGTTCAGATGCAACTGACGGGTCAATCGAAAATGCAACGGAAGGTTTGTACTTACAGGAAGTTAATCTCGTTCTGTGAGACAACAGCGTTATCTGAGAAATACGGTGTCATCTTTGTGCCATAACACGAGCACCAGCTCCCTTCTGCCTTTTCCTCACTCAAAATAGCGTCCAGAGTCATTGGGGTGGGAGGGGGTGGGGGTGGGGGTGGAGTGGGGGGGGGGGGGGGGGGGTGGGGGGGGGGGGTGGAGTGGGCGCTCTGATTAATCGCAGTTAAACAGAAATCATAAAAAAGAAACTCCAGAGCTAAATGCAGCGATGAACACGTCCTCTGCTCTCAGCAACACATAGGGTCCTCGTTAACCTAATGTACTGCAGGAGATCACGTTCAGCAGCTCTTCAACAAAGAGACACAATTTGCACCCGGTGTGGGGGGGTGTGGGGGGGGGGAGAGGTGAGGGGGGAAACCAGAAAAGTTTTCTCTGCAACTTAATCTCAGGAGCAGGTACCAGTCTGAGCGATCTCCCCCCCCCCTCCTCCCCCCTTCTCTGAGAAAACTGGAGTCTGTCCTTTACTTGTTAACGTCTTGAACCAGAAGGGGAGACGGTATGAACCGAAGCCGTTTGCAGAAGAGGGCAGAATCGAGAGTGAGCTCTGCTGTTGGGATGCAGTCACAGCCGGAGCTCTCGGTGTGGTGTCGCTGGTTCCGGCTCAGTCGCTGGTGTAGCTTTGCTGTGCGTGTGTCTCACGAGGAGAAGAAGCATTCGGGGGGGGGGAGAGGGGGGGGGAAAAAATCCCTGCCTCACAGTGAAGCGTTGGCCGGAGGAAACACAGATCCTTTTCCCATTTCGTCTACATATGCCTTCCCCACCACCACCACTCTCTCTCTCTCTCTCTGTGTGGTGTGTGGATTCAGTCCCACGTTTGACCAGAACCACTCCTCCGATCGGTTTTCCTCGTCAGCTGTTTCGCAACCTGCAGCAGGAGAGCTTCCTCACAGAGCCAGAGCCAGAGCCGCCCTGTGGGGGGGTGTGGGTGTGGGTGGGGGTGTGTGGGTGTGTGTGTGGGGGGGATTCACACACACACCGCACTTGTTCAACGACAGCCCTTTCTTTTAGCAAAGTTTCAGTTTGCAGCCGGATTCGTACTCTCAACACCAACATTTCATGGCAACATTAGATTGTCAAGATTTGTTTTCCTTGTGCTGGTATCCCCCCCCCCCCCACCCCACGTAACCAGTGGCTAAAAAAAACTGGTCCTGTAGCTCAGTGATTAGAGCACTCGCTTTACAAGTGAGAGACCCGAGTTCAATTCGAGGCAGGTCTGGGGAAACCTCGGGCAAGTTTCCTTACTCCACCCCTCCAAAACCCAAAACAATAATAAATTGGTCATTTTCAATCCACGACTGTTTGTGGGACATTGCTGTGCGCAATTGGCTGCCGGGTTCGCCCACAAATATACAGTCAATTCACTTTACAGTGTGTTCTGTGAAGCGCTTTGGGACGTCCTCCCGACGTGAAAAGCACTATATCAAATGCAAGGATTATTATTATTATTCAAATCTGGATAGTGGTGGAATTTATTATAAATCTCTCAAATTGGCAGTTCTGTCCACCTGCAAAGCACACAGTCACAGTAAATCTTTATAGGATCTTTACACTATGTACAGTGCAACTTTAAAACAAATGCCTCAGGATAACACAGTGGAGGTTTTTGGAACTAAATTTGATGATGGGTGGCACTTAACCTCTGAATGACATTGATCTGAACTAGCTGCAGTTTAATACAGACAAAAATAAGCCTGTAGGAAAAATAAACAAGAGTAAACTTTGAACCTTCAGTCAACAGTCAGAAAAAAAATACTATGGCAACTTTTGAATGTGAGTGTAGGAAGAGATTGTTAAGAGCTGAAGCAGCTGTTGATGTACTGGTTATAGTCACCCCTCATTAACAGGAGTGTATGACTGCTTTACAAATACACATTTCCCATAAAATTGGGAGGCCAGAACTGAACAATGGAATTGCATAGAGCAGTATAGAAACAGGCCATTCAGCCTAACAAGTCGGTGCTGGTGTTTATACACCACACCTTGAACCACCACCTTGTCCTAAAGCTCTCTATTCCCATCTTCATTAATTTTTTGAAAATCTTCGAAACTTATCTTTGTGCAACAACTTCCTCAATAACTAATTTCAAAAACATTGACACACACAGATCAGGAAGGTCCCAGGCTCTCATCCTTGCTGTGTAAGCTGATCTCAACAAGGTTGGTAACAGTAATAACTACCCTCAGTGTTCTCAGGCGGTGGGTGGGTGGGGGAGCAGAGCAAACATTCCTATGTGGACATTATGTGAGAACAGTATCTGCTGCGGTGACCTTGCAGTCTTGCCAACACTCAGTCTCGACTCGCACAAGAAGAATGCCCATTTTCGTGAGCTGTTGCTCAAGGAATCATAGCAATTGTGGTAAAGCATCTAGGAGAATGACCCGTTTCATCTGGATGAAACAAATAATATTTTAATATACAAAAGTTGTTCAATATCTTCATTTCCAATAAGCAGGATCTACCAAAGAGTTCCACATTGTTAAACAAACATTTTTGTAGTAATATAATCTATAGAGAGCACTGTTCTTTCTGTTCATTTTGTGAAACGGAATGCCTTTCCACTTTTGGTAGGATTAAATTGATATTTAGATAACTATTTCCAGTGGGACCCTCATAAAGTTATTAATCACAGTTATGCAATGCAACTTTTGACAAGTGTATGTACAGTACACAGCCAGAGGAGGAGGACTGCACATTGACTTGAGGACAATTCTTGATGGGGCGGGGGGGAGGAGAAAAGGCATAAAACTGACATGGAAACTCTCCCACTAAGAAGTCGAAAGGACTCTGTACAATGTCAGTATACCTCAATACATATTCAGATTAAGAGAACAAAAGTCAGGAAGTTCTGTAAGAGTGTAATGTAAATGGAGTACTTAATTATGGTTCTGTGGTAGGTCACATACCAAACTGAAATGATCTGTGGTTGTGGATTATCAACCTCCATATACAATTGATGGACCTTTCATTGTTGGAACTGATCTCATTCGAGGGGATTGGATGTGCAATGAGTTAGCAGTTCCTAAACTGGGGACTGTGGACCCCGGGGGTCAAATTTGTTTCTGGGGGGCCGTGAAGCCAGGAGGCACACCGTAAGTGCAAAGATTAAGGAAGTCTAGCTGGACTATGGAAACCTATGCAGCCTGAGGAGCATATGAGAAAGATGTGTTCCCATGGTTCCGGTGCAAGGCATTTCAGGGCAGCTTTTTATGGAGGCTGTGAGGGAGGCCTCGCTGCCCACAGCCTGAGTGGGGGGTCCTCAGTCAGGACACATAATGTCCTGGTGGGGTTTGGGAACCCATGAGTTAGCATACTGGTGTTTTATATTTGGGACCTGGGAATATACTGGGTTAGAATACAACCTGAATAAATCGGACAGAGACCTCAGTCTGAGGCAGAAATATTAACTTAAAATAGGTCAGCCGCATCCGCTCCTCATTGTAGAATCAAATGGGCACAAATCCCAAGCATAAAGATACCTAGTTTATGGTCTCACTCAAGAGATACCAGAGGATTCTTAGATGAGTAGCATCCATGTGTGTCTCTTCTAAGATTTAGTTGAAGGCATATATTGTAAAAGGAATGTCTTCACGCTACATCTCACTTATTGCTTATGAGACTTGGAAGTACAGTAAAACTATACCTTTTATCTTTAACGTCACTTTAGCACTGAGTCATTTATATGGCAATAACAGAGAACAAAACAAAATCTATGTCAATCAATTATTAGGTGAGCTCAACTCGTTTATAAGATTTAGATCTGATTCAGACGCAGTAACCAAATCGTACCTTTGATTAAAATCTATGCAACTGGTTATGAGCACAAACAGGTCACCTCCACTAAATATTTCCAAACAATAGCTGTTTGGTTGCAACGCATGTGCCAGATGTTACATCAATATGTACGCATTCCCATTTGGAAAGGAAGGGATAATAAAGGGGCATCGTGTCAGAAAGAGGAAATATGTTGGATGGCCTTAGGCTATTTGAGAAGGAGCCCACTGCCAATTTCTTCTAGCAAGCAGTGTCCATGTGTGTTCAAACTGACTTTGCCATAAGGCACAACATGCACGTGCCAATTGAGAACCAACAGCACAGAATAGATTTAAGAATGAAACCAATAACCGTCTAAGCAAGGTACAAGCGGCTATAAAAGCTGCAGGCTCAGTCTGAAGTCTTTCAATGAAGCAGCACAAGCATTTGGGTATGGTTATGAAAATGCATTGAGAGAAAAATCTGTGCTTTAATGATTCGTTTTTTTAAAAACTATGTTATTCGAATTTGTTATTATTATTTTCCCTTTTATGGTTTTAACAGCAAATGTAATTGAACAGAACTATGTACAGTAAACAATATAAAACCTCATTTTGGAGGTTAGCCAAACTGGTTTTAGTTCAGATGAACAGGAGGTTCCAGATAGGGTACAATTAAAAAACTTTCATCAGCTCTCTCAACTTATAAGATTCTTAGCAGTGATTTTATTTTTACCCACATGGGTCACTTCAGATGCATTGTTACCATATTTGGAATCAAAGAGCTCCCAAGTTACTTACAGGTTTAAAAATCACATGAAAGGTCATGTGTCATTTGATTATGTGCAAATGAGCAAGTTGATCACAAATATAATAATAATATCTCATACTCATTTAGCACATCTCTGTGTGATGTCGGCTAGCTTTCATGAACCTTTGGACTATTCAACAAAGGCTGCTGAAGTCTTATTCTAAGTGGAACCAGAAAGAGCTAGAACAGGTAGGGAGGGATCTACGTGGGCTGGAAATATTGGAGAGGTTTGTTTCCTGTTGCTGAGTGCAGTGATTCACAACCATAGGGCACGTCACAGATAACAAATCAAAATATCACTCGATAATTGCATGTTTTTGCTGCAAGGAACTGAGTCATAGCTCTCGCTCCGAACAGGTGATTCTTCTCTTCTCAGTCATTAAACTAAACACTTTTCAGAGCTTAACAAATGCTGCCCCCAACTGTTGACATCTGTATTGGAGCAGAGGAAACCAAACCTCAGAAATAATATGGGATATTCCATCCGTCGATTGACTGATCATACAGTACAAA